TTAAACAGAAAGTTAATTACTATTAGTTAATTATATACAATTTCAAACTAATTCAACCGAGTCCACCCAATTAATAAGCAATATGGTTGAACATATAATGAAAAGATTTGTATATTTATCACTATTTTTTGAATTATAATTCAATAAAATCTATTTCTATTGTTAGTCTACATATATATTTTTTTTACTATATCTTTATGATCTAAAGCAATGTTTCCTACAGCAAGTGTTACTCGATTATTAATTCAATCTATACAAGATTTTCAGTAAATTCAATATTTACTGAAACCAAGCTTATCGATGGGAAACTTTTCAATATATATAAACTCATTACCTTTGATGATTTTTTTTCTAAAAAAAAGACGTACAGCTATTAAACCTATATCATTAAAATAAAGTTGAAATGTTTATAATTATGCTACAATGATGTAACATTGCTACAAAATCTTCTTTGCTTTTTCTCTCTCTCTCTCTTTCACTGTTTCAATAATTAAAGTTCATAGAATAAACAAAAGAAAAAAAACAAGAAGACACCTTGTGTTTATAACACTTATAATTTCTAAACTATGCATAAAATCAAAAAGATAAATAGAAAGAGAGAGAGAGAGAGAGAGAGAGAGAAAGAAGATAAACCGGATACACAGAATTAAAAAAAGAGAACAAGATGCTTCACCACACCAGATGATAACATCCAATAATAGTAATTTTGTGAGATCAACAGTGGCACGTTCAACTTTATCAGAAAGAAAACAAACTCGGCACATCTCTTTTAGAAACGGACACAAAACAAGAAAATAGTATTTGAAATAAAAAAAGACACAAATGAAAGTGCAAAATCGGCCTCGATCACATCAAGGTTTCCGTCTTTTTTTGCTAACCACTAAATAGGTAAACATACACACCGTGATTTGATCCGACTTGACTAGCTCATCACATGTTTTAAGACAACAAAAGAAAAGGAAATAAGCGAAAGGTAAGAAGACAAAAAAAAATTGATTGTATCGAAAACAGACAAAGGATGAACAGAAAGAGAAAAGAATCATGGAAAGAAAAATAAAAATAAAACGATCAACTGTTCTGTTTTTATCAAAAAAAAACAAGCTTTTTTTAAAAATGTTTTAATTACAGTAACAGTTGTAGAACATAATATTAATATTATGTATTTGTATTATAATTGTACTTTCCGTTTCCATTATAATCGCAACGAAGTCGTTTACTAGCTAAAAGAAACAAAAACAAAAACAATTGTTTTAATTTGATATATTTCTTTTTTTGAATCTTACTAGGCGATGGTAACGTTTCAATATCAATATCTGAATCATCATCGTCAGTCGATCGACGAATAGATGAATTCGTATGATTTGATAGAACAGGCGTTGATGATGAAGATGATGGTGGTGGAGTTAAATCGACGGAATGTTGTCGAACAACCGGTATAAGTGGTATAAAAGCACTAGGTGCTTGATTTGGATTGACTAGTAATGATGTTGTCGATGATGGTGATGGTGTTGAATACAATCTAAGTGAAGAGAGTGTATTCAAACCATTCGGTAATACTGGAGCTGTTGGATGATAAATTGATGGCACTGTTGGTAGTGGTGGAGGTGGTGGTGGTATTATTGGACCATAATCAAAACGATGTTGATAAAGTTCTGCAAGAAATGGATAAGCAGCAATATGATGAAAATTTCCCATTGAACCAACAAATCGTTGCATTTGTTGAGAAAAAGCATTTGGTTCACGCATTTGTGATAAATGTTTTGAACAAAAACCATGTCGTTGGGATTCTTTTTGACATTGATCAATACCACATAAACGACGCCATTGTTTACCATTAAATTTTTTACGTATACCTGTACTACTTTAAAAATAGAAAAACAAAATCATCAAAAAAACAAAAATTAAAATAAAGAAATAATTTTTATTTTACCTCATTGTAAAAATATCTCCTTTTTTTATTCCTTGTAATTTATTAACTGTTTGTTCTTGTTTTTGTAATTCTCTTTCAACTTCTTCATCATCTTCATCTTTATTTTCAATTGGTGGGGTTGGAAATGCTATTTTTTGTTGTTCATCATTATTATTATTTGTTGATAATTCAGCAGATATTGGTCGAAACATCGTTGACATCGGTAAATTTTCACGATAAAGACGTAACTCTTCATGCCACGGTTCAATTAATAAACGAATATTTTGTCTTGTAAACCATATATCTTCTTTATCATTTTCATCTTGATTTATTTCGTCACCATTATTATTATTATTATTATTATTATTAGTATTATTATGTGAATTATTTAAATCAATTGAAAATTCTAAACGTGTTGGATGTTTAGCTCGTATTCGACCACATTGAAATTGATTTAATTTATTAGTTTTTATTTGTCGAACACATACTTGTGTATTAATAACAAGATCTTGACACGCGGGAATATTATCAATTATAATTGATGGTAAATAATTACAACTTGGTTGTAATAGATCAACATTAATTGTTGATGATTGTTGATCACGAAGTGATATTGTAATAAGATGAGAATCAATTATATCAAGGATTGTACCCATATGATATATGTTTGAATTTTGATTATCAAGAACCAGCACACTTTGATGACGCCATTGACTTGCGTCTAAGGTAAATTGTGTTAGTGATAATGGTGAGGGCGTTGAAGAACAACTTCGTTGTTGCCAACGTTTTTTTGGTGGTGACACTTCGTCGTAGGCCATTTAGTGTACCTCTAAAATAAATAAAAAAATAAAAATAAAAAAATATTTTCCTACTCAAAATACAAGACATGTAGTATGATTATTATTATTCTTTTTCTTTGCAACTCGAAAGGATAAAAAAAAATGGATGTGGGTATGTGCATAGAATTTGATGATGAAAACAGTTTTTTCATGACATACAGCAAACAGAAGCTTTGTTTTTGTTATTTTTCGCCTATTCTTTTTTCTTCACTTACTATTGCTCCTGTAATGTTGTACGCAAAGGAATTTTTCAGCTGTTTATTATCAATGGAACGAGCGTGATTCAACCTGCATCTTTTTTTTTTTATGTTAGAAAAAGTTAAACCATCTGCATACAAAGAATTTAGGAAGAAGAATGTATTTTACAAAGTACTTAGGAAAGAAATGGGTTGAAAGCATGCTGATAAATAAAAAAAAAAAAGAGAAGAGAAATTTTTGAAAAACAGATACGTTGATTTGAATAGAAAGGAAAGAAAAAGTGAAAGCAAGCAATCGCATTCATCAGCTGACGTTACTTATTTTCTTTTTTTCTTCCTATCTCTATTCATCTAGGCAAATGTATTATTATTGTTATTGTCCAAAAATGAGTTGTATTTTTTTCCTCTATGATGCTCAATTTTGCACATACACACAACTTTCGCACTACATAGCGTACGATGTAAGAGTCGAACAATGAAAACAACATGCATCTGTATCGTTTCATCTGATATACATTCTCGTATAGAAAACAGATGTTACTATGTGCATAAAAACCAGTTCTCTTCCTACTCACTTGAGCGACAATGAATAAGAGAAAGAGACGAACGAAGAAGAAAATAAGATTGACAGCAATATTAGAGAAAAATGACTATTTTTTTCAATATTTTTGTTTTTTCTGAATGCAAAAGAAAGCTTTTCAAAAAAAAAAACAGACGTCCACATAGAATATATTACTCATCTCTTCAGCTTACGAACGTGTACAACTAAAATAATAATAAAAGCACGGACGCAGTACAAAGATGTGCATGCACGAAAGAAAAGAAGAAGTGTAAAATGAGAATAAAAGTGCACATTACATAGTCAATAGTATTTTTTTTTATTTTTGTCTCGCAAAAGACAATCATCAAAATAGTCTCAAATATTGCACAATAGGCCAAAAGCTACTAATCATATTCTTATCATTATTACACGTGTAGTAACCTATGATGAAACTAAGTAATAAACATATATAAACAATCACGTGACAATAATCGGTATTCAAAATACCATATGAAATAAATTAATCTATTCTAAGTCCCTTACCACTAAATTTATCGGAATAAATAAAAAACGTTGATGTAGAAAAAAAAAAGGAAGAATGAAAGTGAATAACCGCAAGTAATATTCCATCATTTTATATAGAAAACACTTTAAAAATGACTATGAAGCTCAATAATAAAGCATATTAGTAAAGATACCCCTATTTATAAAGTACAGGCGCCTGATGACGAAACCAGGCGAAAGAAAAAAAAGCAAAAAAAAACAAGCGAGAAAAAACGACTGCGGTAACACATAAATGTCTTTCTCCTTCTCAGTTTCTCTCGTTTTTTTTTCTCTTTCACGCACCCTCAGCATGATCAACTCTTGGGGTATTTTTTATGTTTTTTCTCTCGTCGACGCTTTTTTTGCCACATCTTTGCATTCTATCTTTCTCCTTTGACATAAACACAAAAACACAAACTGAGTTCGTGGACATACTGGCAGTTGCGCAAGGATATGTGTATGTTATATAGCGAGTGGATTCTTTGATTTACACATACACACGTAGTTGCGTACGTACGCACTGTTAGCGATTACGTTGCTTTTTCGATTTTCTTTCGTTCCTACATCCTTTTCTTTCTTGTTGTCGATACCATGTTGTTGTTAATAGCACAGTGATGTGTACGTGACAGAGAAATGCTACATATCATTGCACGATTAAAACTATGTTTTTTTTCTTGCTGTCAAAGTATCGTACATGTTTGCCTATGTGTACGTATATATAGAAAGTCTCATATATAAAAGATTTACCTTTAGATATGAGTAATTCATCATTGTATTTATGTGATGAAATTTACATTGACATGTATATAGAATTTTCTATTTCAATTGCCATTTTTGACTAATAGAAAAAATATTCATCTAAAAAAAAACGATTTATTGAAATGAAAAAAAACAATAATACAAAAACAAAACAAAACAAAACAAAACAAAAGACAAAAAAACAAGGAAAAGAGAATTGAAATTTGTATTGTTTAGCTTTTTTTATTTGTTAAAAATAATTCAATTAATTTATTTCGACATTGTGTATTTTCAATTTGATTAAATTCATTCTCAATTAAATCATTCCAATGATTTGATTTTGTTAAATCGAACTAAATAAAAATTTAACAAAACAAATAAATAAATAAATATTTTTAAATAAAAAAATATCAACATACTCGACTAATAATTTTATATAAACTTCCAAATAATGAATGGTTTATTGTTTCAGGAAGAAATAAAATCTCTTCTTTCGATTGACAATGATCAACATCAAGAATATATTTGCATGGTAGAAAATATATATTTTCTAAAATAAGTAATTTCAATTATAACAACTTGAAGAGCATTTCAATTACCTGTAGATAAATAATTAACACCATTGAAATCAATTTTAAAATTTTTCATTTGAGTTGAATGAATAAGTAACACATTTGAAGTACCTAAATATAATCAATAATAAAGTTTAAAAAAACAAATAAGTTAAAATCTGATTTATCAAGAGCAATCACACATAGTGAACAAAGCCACAACCAACATAATCATTATATATATATATGAAATACTTACTGATTATTAAAAAGAAGATTCTTTAAGATATAATAAGACATAGATATATATATAAATATATTTTATAGAAATAAAATAAAATTAAAAATAATACCTGAAATTTGACATTGACCAAATATTCCAATAGCTTGTTTTGATTTAAATTGATCAAATAATGACCATAATTTATCAAAAGAATTTATAAATATTATATTTGGATTTAAATAAACAACACGATCAACATTTAATATTGTCTAAAAACATTTTTCAAAAATTCTTATTATCTCATAAGTATTGTTTCACAAATATCTTGTTTTCTTTCATCAATAGTTGTCTAGACTTTAATTTTTCTATTCTATTTATAATATATTTAGTCAAGGAAGAAGACCATTTCCTTAAATGAATTTAATAATAGACAAAAATTCTATATTTCATGGTGACATATTCCTTTTTTAAAAATGTCATTCTATTGTAAAATCAGTTCTGACTTTTTTTTCTAGACTATAGAGGAAATATGCTTTAAAATTTGAAATGAATATAACATACCGATAGTTGAAGTGGATGCTGTATCGTCATGTTGTAATATGTAATTGAATAGTACATTGATTCAATCTAAATATAATTTATTTAATTATAGATTTTATTTTCGATATTTCTACTTGTTTAGAAAAATAATTTTGAGCATTGTTATCTGTTATAATAACATGTAAATGTATTTGATAAGTTTTATTTGAAGAAAATAACATAAGAGATTTAAGAAGAATATATGATTGTTCAATAAAATTCCAATTATTATTAAATATCAAAGCAATATGAAATAGATTTTTTAATGAATAATTTAATGATGATATTTCTTTTGATAAATGTTTTGTAAATAATTCTTGTGATTTACCACAATTGGTTAATGAATAATTTTTTAAATTATTTTTTATTTCGGTTAATAATGAATATTTTAAATTTGAATCAAATTTCCAATTATGAATAACTTGATAAATAGATTTAAATTCTTGATATTTATCATTATGAAATGCACTACGACAACCATGAATAATTTTAATACCATCTAATTTAGCTATTTGACAATTATTTTCATAAACACAATGATCAGGTCGATAATTCCAATCACAACCAAATTCATATATTTGTTCTAGAATATCAACAAAAAGAAAAAAAGAAAAACATGAACTTATATTTGTTTCATTTAAATGAAAGAATATTTACCCGGGTAATAACTAAAATAAATATTTAATAAACATTGATCACCCCAAGTTATGTTTAAATGAAATTCATCAAAAATAGTCATTATCTTAGAAATCATGTTCATTTGACGCATACGTGTTAAATTCATTAACATTACACCAGAATTGAGTCCTGTTTAAATTAAATATAAATTTCTATGACTAGTATGAAATTAATTAATGAAGAGTAGGAGGTTATAACAATTTATTATTTTACAATAGAAATGTGTAGTTTAAAAAAACACAAATTATTCTAAAGAATCTATAGTTGATTTTTTATATAAACGAATTGATGAATACAGCACTGAATTCTACACAGTTTTAATATTTTCCTTCTTCATTTAATTCGATGACGCTAAATTATTTAATAGAAATTTTTAATTCAATGCTTTCATAAGTTAGCTGTAGTTGTTAATATATCTAACAATGATATCATGAATACTAAATGAAAAATGTAAGATATTTTTTGTTTCTCATATTTTTTTGTTCTCTACTTCCGTTTTTCAATTTTCTCGTTACCAATTGAAGCATATTTTCAATTTATAATTCGATTGAAGTTCATTTAAATGATGTTTCTTAAAATCAAAGTTTCCGATTATTTTGGAAGATGAAAAAGACTAAAAATTTGGTAGAAAGTCTTTTCATTTTATTTTCTAGAAGACACAAAACAATGATAAGTGTCTTAAAATGTGCTTTCTACTAATATTTTTCATGAAAATATAAAAAGCTTTGCATATGGAAACCTGCTCAAGACGATTTTTTCTGAGCTATGAAGCGAAAATACCCCGATACAGATTTATAATGAGATTAGATTATTGGAGTATAGTATAAAAATACGCAAGAAAGGATTGATCAATAGTTTTTCTTAATAATCATGCTATAGTCTATGATTTATACTGATTTAACATCCGTACTTGTTTTATTTCTAATAAAAAATAAATCATATCAAATGTTCATATTTTATTAAATTCAAAAATGAATTCTTTTGCCAATGGCAAAATAAAAAAAAACAAGGGTTTTGTACTTCATCTTCCTTAAATATTAATGATAGACTATTTTTTTAACCTACCCATTGACCCATAATATGGATGGCGCGCAAATCGATTATACCATCCCATAGATGGATCTTCATGTTCTGATGTTAATGCAGCTAATTGAGTTGAATTAAATTTTCGAAAAAAACGCCATAAACTTCTTATATTACTTAAAAATAAAATATCCGTATCAATATAAATTACTGAATCAATATTTGTCAGTATATCCTAAAAATGAAACAAAAAAATGAATAAGTAATTCAATATATGATTTAAACGTTTATATATTCAACGAACTGGAATAAATAAACGTTGAGTACAACATGGTTTAAATAATTTCCTCCATCGTTCATCATTTCCACGCGTAAATTGAATTTGATAATATTCAATTTCAAATTTTGATCTATATTCAATAGGCCATTCTGAATTAATCTTTAAATTCAGAATTAAATTAATTGAAAAAAAAAAGGAAAAAATAAAGAAAGTCAAATTAATAATATTACTTTTTCTTTAAATTGTTCTCTTAAATGATCTTCAGTAAAAACATGAAAAATAATTGGTGATGGTGTAAAAATTAATGATGATTTTAACGCATTAAGTGCTTCTTCAAGTCTAACAAAAATAAATAAAATAGATAAAAATAAAAATCTCGTTGTTTCTAGATTTAGATTATACCTATCACCACATACAACAATTGTTAAATGTATTGGTTTAAGTGCATAGATTTCCGTATTTAAAAAAATTAATAAAATTAAATAATTGAAATTCATCTACGAACAAATAATATTCATCTTTCTTATTTTTTTTTCGTCTTATTGCATCAAAACACAAAAGTAAAATCTCTACAAAACACTTATACACAAAAAATAAAAAGAAAATAGACATTCGAAAGACAAAAAACCAAGGATAACACACAAAATACCAAAACAAAAATATACAGTAGTAGTCAAAAGTTTAATCCCTATCGTATCTCAATGACCATATTTGTTAGAGATCTAAGAATTTGTATAAGCATACCATATGCCAATAAATGTAGGCCAGTGGTAAGATGTCGGTTAGATGGATTAAGTGTAAAGAGAGTTATAAGCGGATGACATATATTAATGCTTTGAGCTTTCTAATCTGGCAAGGCTCTCTGTTTAATTTAGCATAGATGTTTATTTAACACATGACTAATTCTTGTGATGTTTGCATGAAACAAGAGTTCAGTCTATAATTTTTTGTTGTTGTTGAAAAAATGAACTCATTTGACATGTTATTAATGTTGCTGAACAACTCTGAATTCTTAATATTCAAACGCCTTTTTTTTTATGAACTAGAAAGTTCATTGCTGAAATTTGTAGATAACAATATTGAACAGTAACAAAAGTCTATCTGAAAGTTTACACACAATTCGTTCAATTACTACTACTAAATTAAAGTCTCAAGAGAGCAGCAGATAATTTTTCTTCACATTAATGATTATAGTAGCGTGTCCATAGTTCTAAAAAAAAGCCTATGAGCTTCAATGAAATAAAAAACATGAATAGCTTAAATATGGGAATATATAATGAGGAATCGTCTAGTTCACAGAGCTCTTCCTTTCTACATATATAAATATCAAAAGAAAAAAAATAAACCAGTTGTTGTCATCAATGATCATTCTGTTTGCAGATCATTAATCAGGATGAGGTCATGTCATTGGACTACACTGTTGACAAAGTATGTGTACACAAATTTTCAGATCTCTAACACTTATAATAGCTAAGATCCGGTAAGGAACAGACTGTTATTCACTACTGTACATATAAATTTTAATGTTCTTCCATTCTCTCACATTATTAAATTTTGCTTTTGTCTTTTTTTTCTTAGTAAATTGGAAGAAAAAAAATACATGTATACACACACACGCACACACACACACATATATATATATATATGTATATATACTAATGATTTTTGCATTTAAAGTGACTAGGAGGATGAAAAATCAAAAGTAATCATTTCTAGAACTGATATTGAAAAACATGGTGATGAACAAAGTGGTTCATTATTAAATGTTTCACAATGAGCTGTACGACCTTCACATAATGATGAATCAATATATAAACCATCACCATTACTAAAATGAAATAAAATGAAAAATTTTTATATTTATCTTTACATTTATTTTGTTATTGTTTACCCTCCACCAATAATTAATTTTTCATTATTGACAAATAAGAAAAGTTCTCTTTTAACTTTATATTGTCGATTATCATTTTCTTGTTGTTGTTGTTGTTGTTGTTGTCCAACCCAAGGATATTTAATTTCTTTTGGTACAAGTGTAAATAAATATGATTCACCAAATCCGAAATATGTTTTATTATGACGATCAGACCAAGGACCAGCACAAAATGCCCCGAATATCTATTCGAGTAGAAAAAAAAACCAAGAATTACAATTAGAAGTATTTTACAAGATAAAAGATCTTTCTTTTTCTGCTCCATTTCCAAATTCCAGAAATGAATCAAAAATTTTTTCAGTAAGACTTTTGAAATTTATCTCATTTTTATCAAGAAAAAAAACCTAACCTCGCCAGTGGTTGTTTTAATAACTAATATTGAATATTCAATTTCATCGATTTTTTCTAATAAAGTTTGTAATCGAAATCCATGTTCTTGAGTTGTAAAAACTAAGATAGGTTGAGAAAGACTAAGACGTACGGGTAACCAATTCCATAGAGTAACAAACTAAAAAATAACAAGACAATAGAAAAAAACATTTTTTTTGAAGTAATTTAATAAATACTTGTTGATAATTGAGTATAGATGCATCCGGTATTCGTGTAAGATGATGAGGAGTAATAAATATTGACTGTCGTTCACTCATATTTCTATGGCTATTTTTCGAATTATTATTATTATTATTATTATTATTATTATTGTTATTATTATTAATGTTAGTATTAATATTATTATCATTATTATTAGATTGATCAATATCATCTGTTCGAGGAAAATAACGAGTTGTATGTAATGATTCTTCTTCGTGATCAATTAATTGTTCTATTGTACTTCGTTTTAAATTTCGAATATGAAATGCAGTCTAAAAAGAGAAATATTCTCTTAATAAACAATCTTCAAATATCATTAATTATCATATCAGTTTCATAATTTCAAATTAAAATTCTTTTTTTTCTAATAATTTTTCTAACATATTCAATGTGAGTTATCTCTTGAATAAATCTCTGGATTTATTTTCATTTGATTACAATGGTGGCTGAATAAAGATCATTCTTTTAGATTCAATATAGATAAATATGATTGATAAAAAGATATCATCCTGATACAAATGATTCTTGAACTGATAGTCTTTAAAATTTAACGACATTATATTATAAAAATATTTAGAGAACTTCTTATCTTTCATGTTTCATAATCTTTATTTTATTCGAATTACTTACATGTAATAGATGTTCAATAGATACAGGAATTTGTTGGCAAAAATCTGCCATATTTTGAATTTTTCCATTCGATTCATGTTTAACAGCTAGATAATAATAATAAAAAAAAAACAAAAGACTTTATATGCAATAAGCAATTCAATAAAGTAAAAGCAAAATCTCAATATAAAATAATATCCTTCTAAAATCCCCTTTTTTCCCTTTTGAAAGCATTAAATAAAACAATATTGTTAGTATTCATGCATTTCCTAAAATGCATAAATGTTAGTATTAACTATGTTATTTCAATACATTATGATGAGTAGACTGAACTGTAGAATATTTGTTCAAACACAAACAAATAAATAAAATAAGCACATATTCAAGAAATGCAAATATAGAAAACCAATGTGAATATTTACACAAACAATTGTACGAATGAGGTTCTACAAAATGACATGACATTGTAAGAAAAAAAACATAAAAACAACTGTTAATTTTTTTTTTCTTATTAGTAATTCTTTAACTTACTTTTAATAAATAGATGAACAAGTGCTAAACTAATACGATATAAAATTTTTGGACCTTCAAGAAGGAAACAATCCATAATTTTTACCTGAAATTTAAAATAATAAATTCAGTAAAAAAAAACAAAACAAATAAGAAACTAAATAAATTTTTCATACAAGATAAGAAAATGGTAGATAACGAAATATCCACCAGAACCATTCTTGATAAAATACTTTTGTATTTGTATAACGTAATTCAATAGCATCGGCTGTTGATTTCTATAAGAATAAATTCAATTTAATTCTTTTTTGTTTTTAATATCTAACTTACATAATATATTTTTAATAATTTTTTAAATACATTACAATTAGCTTCCCATTGTAAACGTGTTTCACCACATAACCAATGTTTAATTAATAAACGATTAATTAAATATAATACTTCATGTTCATTAAAATAATGTAAAAGTAAAGCAGATAACGGTTCTAATGCTGGACAATACGTTACATCTGGATGATGTAAAGCAAATGTAAACAAAATATGATGTAATATTAAACATCCTCTTGATTCAGTTAAATGATAAAAACATAAATTAGTTGTATCAACAAAATTTGGCCATTGACTTAATTTTGATGCTAATGAATGTGAATTATTATCAATTGTTATAGTTGATGTTGGTATGGGTGTTTGCACTGTATGATGAGTATGACGATGTTGTTTTGAAGTACTAACTCGATTTAATGTTAATATATTCATCCATAATTGTCGACGAATAAGATGATCAATTGGCCATATTGTTGAACGTATTATTGATTTAAGACGATGAAAATCATCATCGGATACAGCTTGGGATGATATATTAACAGATGGATCGATTGAATTTAAAAAATGATTACTTGTATGATTTGAGGAAAGAAGATCTATAAGATCTTTATGTTTGGAATGATGATGTTGTTGTTGCTGTTGATGAGATAGTTGTTTTTGTAATTGAACTATCGTATCGTCAGCAATAACATTGTTATTGAATGGGTGGCTATTGCCATCCGCCATTCAAACATCTAGCTGGGTTCAAATGATCCTAAAATAGATAAGAAAAAGCATAGAGAGATTCTGAAGCCTAATATAACTAACAACCATGTCATTCTTTTTTTTCCTTTTTTCTCTGTCTTTTTTTTTGCTTTCCCATTTTTGTTTATCAGATAAGTGTGACAAAAACTTGCATTTCTTTCTCACTCACTCATTTTCTCTCTCCCTTTCTCTCTTATTTTCTCTAGTCTGTTGCTGTCGAAAGTCAAGTAGTTGAGTAAGCTAGAATGATCGATCGACACAAAAGAAAAACGCGAGAGAAAATGCAAAAAAAAAGTTCTTGTATGATGCGTCTTATTTATATATATATATATATGAGCTTTCATTGAATTTTTTCTTTTTTCTTTTATTCTTCGATCTATTGTTAACTCATTCGGATGTTACTATGTCGAGTAGAATCAATTTGTTCATCCATACTACTTTTCACATCGTTTAACAATCATTGCATCCGTACGTGCTTATAGATTTTACTCTATGTCTCAAGGACAAAAGTAATACTTAGTATTTTCTCATGTAAGATAAGAAAAAAAAAGAAAAAAAAAGTTGAAGAAAGAGAACAAGAACAAGACGAATGAGAACGGGAAACTATATATTTATATATCTATATAGAAGAGGACTACATAGAAACATGAAGAATGAATCAGAGTATGCAATTACTACCTTCTTTTCTCTTCTAGTTTTTTTTCCTATTGGATTCTTTTTCTTGATTTTCAAATCACATAATAAATGATAGAAAAGCCTCGGTACTGAACAAACACGATTAATTTTATTTGACACAACTAATCTATATGTATTATATTAATTAGGTAATTTACCACTGATTTGTTTTGAAAAAATAATTTGATGATCTAAGTTGTTGACGACAGCATGTTGATTTAAAGAAAAGCTACGACGAAACATAATACTGTTAAATAAACAATGAATAATATCTGAAATATAGAAAAAAACAAAAATGTTAATTATTGTTTTGTTTTTCATAAACACAGATCAGATTAATCTTTGTTTTTCCTTTTTTTTTTCTTTTATTAAAAAAAAAGGCAGCATAGATATCAAGATAATGAAATGTTGAAAATGCGAACAGTGCCATCATTCGAACAACCAGCTAATTGATATGATGATGATAACAATGGACGAAAACATAATTGATTTACGGTTAGATGAAAACCGAGCCTTGAACATATATAGAAAAACAAAAAATTCAAATGTAATTAATATTATACTGAATTATAGACTTTTTTTTTGTTCTCTGAATTACAAATATGTTAATGAATAATGACAAATTCCAAGTCATTTTCTAGAGAACAAATGAATTTTATAAAAAAAAGATTTTGACGACCTTTTTAGCTCTTATTTACTGTGTGCATCTAAAAAACAAAGAGCTGAATGATTTGAAAAAAAAGAAAACATTTGCAGAAAGATTGATTTGTTTTTTCCCTTTTACATGGCAACCATGATTCATGAAAAACTTTGTTTTCTTCTCGAGAATACAACTAATTTTTTTTTTTCTATCGAGAAATGAGCGTAGTAGACCGATTTTTTCTTCATCAAACAATTGAAAATTCCCTTGAGAAAAATTCAATATTTGAAAAAATGAATATATTACGAATAAATCAATAAATTTCTTTAATTCTATAAAAAAAAAGGGTTTTATATTTAATATACTCTCTTCGATCGGTGATGAATCACAAGGATTTCTTTGTTTCTAATATGTTACATAGAAAAAAAACCAATCTAACAAACATGCGAATGTTAAAATAGTTTCTTCTTAAGATAAGTATAAAATAATTACAAATATTTGCCTTAATAAACAAAAAAAAAGAAAAGAATATTGCATGACTAGAATATTTTTAGTTCCATCAGAAATAATTCTATCAATAGTATAGTTAGGAAAACAACGTCATATGATTTCTCGAAAGAAATAACTTTCAGTTATTTTCATGTTTCTCTCCATCGACTAAGATATTCCCTAATGAATAACTATTCAGCTTTTGTATTATAACAACTAACTACAATAGATTGAATTATTTCATATCGAGAAGTATAATAAACATATAAAGGTATTTTAATAATTAATTGAAATTAAACATGATTCTACTCTCGTTATTAGTTTTTTTGGAATTTAATAAATAACAAACAGAACTGATTTTTAGTCGTAATCTAATAGGAAAAATAAATACTGAAAAAAAACCAATTTCAATTTTTATATTCCTAGAAAAAGTAATTATTTTTATTTTTCTTACGGTGCTGTAATTGATGTTAAATGTTGCCAAGATAATTGTTCATTCCAAGTATAAAGTAAAACACTACCATTATCAAGTCCTGCTACTACAAAATATCTAAATTTATAAAACAAAAAAAAGAATTCCTTTAAATAAAAAAACAGAAACAACTTAAAAATATTTTACAAACCTTTCAGTCTCAATCAACCGAGGTGCAAATGTAACAGCTGTTATCGAATCATTCAATTTTAGATAATTTTTTTCACAAGGATGTTCATTATCATCATTACTCTTTTCAGTAACACGCCACATATGAATCATTTGATCGCGTGCACCCGTTATAAAATATTTATCGTCATGCGAAAAACTACATGTCCATATGATACGTTTATGATATTGATTATTACTTGATATTCGTTTATATAAACGGGCTTGAAAATCTAATTTGAGAAGAGTGAAAATAAAATGAAAATAAAAATAAAAATAAAACAAACTTGTTTCATCTATTTCGAATAATGACCAAGATCGATCACGTGATACAGATAATAAATATTGACCATCATTGGAAAAAGCCATTCGAACAACTGTTAATTGATGTACAACAAGACGAGTAATTGGTTTCCAAGTATTTGTATTCCATAATATAATTGCTGCATCAGTTGGTTGACTTGCCTAAAATAATGTGAAGTTATAAAAAATTAAAATGAAAATTCCCTAACATTGATGAATAGACTTAATTAATTCTTTTGTTTACGACAAAAATAATATCTAAAACGGTTTGACAATCAACTAAAAGATGTATGAGTTTTATAATCTCTGAGGATTAACCATACGCTGAAGACAGATGGCAACTACTACATAACGAAATGATCACTTTTTTTTTTTGTTGATTATTCTTGAATTTTTCAATGACATCCTTTATAATAATGTAAAAACAAAAAATGCTCGCCATAGTTCTATATGTACATAACTATGCTTCGTCTTTGTTATTTTAAACGCGCGACTTCACTAATAGATATTGACATAATAATAACGACTTTTATATTTTTCAATATAACAAAATCTATAATAGTGCCACTAACATTGGTATACGGTATGCAAATTTATTTCATTATAGAGAAAAAATCCGTTTTTTGGGATGTTTTAATTATTCTATATACAGGAGTGGACAAAAGTGTTCATCCCCTGAGATTTTAACCATAAAAAATGTTGAAAGTTTGAAAACTTGTGCGCACATATTCCAACAGGAATGTAGGTCAGTGACACGATCTCATTCTGTTTGTTTAACTTCAATGAGAATCATGATACATGACAAACCAGTTTTGCTTTCAACTTCATAACTCTAGAAAGAAAGAACCTTGTGAATCAATTAATGCCTTATTGCTTAGCGCTTTGTTGCAGCTATTTATATTACTAGTTTTATCTAAATTCATCAAGTGTTTCGAGAACTATGGTTATTTTACTGTAATCATCGATGTGCAGTAATACCATCTATTGCTCTTTGTAGACCAATAATTCAGTGATAGTTCAATATATCGAGATCAAAACTTGAACAAAGTTTTCTCTACAATTGAATATTATTGCTTCCAAGTTTCAGAACCAAACCTCGTATTTGAAAGGAAAGGTTATAGAGCTCATAGAAAAAAATTGGTACCATCCATCATAATTATCGTTGTGCGTAAGTAACCAAGACGAGATTCTGTTGCTAATCTATATTCTTGCTACAGTATGTACACAAAAATTTTCAGACCTTCAGCATGTAAGGTGACTAAGATCCAAGGGAATGAAGACTTTTGTTCACTATTATAGATATATATATATGAACATGAGTCGCATGTTTTTCCAGTCATTGTCGATAGTTTATTGAAGAACCTACTTTACATGTTGAAGCAATGATTGAACCGGACGGATTTGATGCTACGGCAATGATTTCATAACCATGTCCATAAAGTTTTTGAATTTCAGGCCAAAGTGTATTTTGTAAGAGATGTTCTTCAAATGGTGGTTCTTCAATAAAACAAATATTGTTTTTTTTTCATACGAATTTTTCTTTTTTTTTTCATCTAACTTACCATTCAAAACAATGGCTTTAAAAAATCCTTCTTTATATAATCCATCAACAGTCATTGGATCATCATCGATCACTGCTGATGTTGTTGTTGTTTGATTTTCATCATTATCAAAAATTGCTTTATTTGATAAACCTAATGCTGGTACATTAGCACCTTCAGGCAAAGATTGTGCTTTCTAAAGGATATATATTGATTTAAAATACAAAGCAAAATTGAAAAGTTTTACTTGAATATCTTCATCAACATTAATTTTTGTTATACGAGCAAAATTTTCAAGAAAATTTTTTGGTGGATCAAATACACGTAAAATTTTTTCATCAGCACCGGATACAAAACGTTGTTGATTTGAACCAATAAAAGTTAAACATTTCATTTCATAACCATGAATTTGTGGTCGACCAATTTCATGCCATGAAATTATCTTAAAACAAAAAAGAAACACAGAAAACTTTTAAACAAAAGAAGAAAAAATTTATTTACTCCATTTCGTTTCCATTCAGCATGTAAACGTGCTGTTTGATCTGTTGATACACTTAATAAATAACGACCACTATGTCTATCCCAACAACAATCTTCAACTGTATTAAAATGTCCACTATTAATTACTTGTGGAATTAAATTAATTCGATCATCAATCTAGAAAAATAAATAATTTCTAGTCAACACAAAGATAGAATCGTTTATTCTACTTCTTCAATTTTCCATAAATGTAAAGCACCTTCATAACCATGACCAAGTATATATGAACCACATGGACTAAACGTACATCCATAAAAACCAAGTGTATTACCACCAACTTCACCAACACGAGCCTAATAGAATCATTAGAATAGAAAAGAGTTGTTATATGTAAAAGAGAATAATGATTTTACTTTATCGATATACATTTTTTGATTGTCATCAAAAGTCCATAAAACCATTGATTTATCCATTGATGCTGATAAGATTGTTGTTGCTGCTTTTTTCAAATCTTCAAGGTAGAGAACAATGTCATAATAGATTTTTGACTAAAATAATGTACCTGTATTTGGATACCAACAAAGACCATAAATAGCTTCTTCATGTCCTAATAAAATTGAATAAAGTTCAACATTAACATTAATTGGAGATTCATCTAAATACGAAAAAAAAAGATGAATGATTAATTAATGGATTTCCTATGAAATTATTTCTTTTTTTATACCAGTAATTTTTAGAGCGAATGAACTTCGTTTTAATTTTAATATTGTCGGATCAACATTTGTTTGGTTATTACTTTCATTAAATGATAATTGCCAAATACGAATATAATTATCTTGAGAACAAGTTGCAATAAACCATTGAAATGATGCTTAAAAAATAAATTCATCAGAAACGATGATAATAAATAACAAAAAGAAGAACTTCTTTTCTTACTTAATTTTTGAACTGTTATTGAACGTATCCAATCTTCATGTCCACTTAATACAAAAACTTGTTCAATCTGTATAAATAAATAAAATAAAGTTTAAAGAGTATTTTTTTTAAAAGTATTTACTTTAACTCACTAACCACGCTGTTTGATACTTGATAAATCTGAACTTTATTTTTATCCGTTGCAACAAACAATAAGAATACTAAAGTCACAACAAATATTCTCTGATCAAATATTCTTTGAATAAAGCAAAAACTCACTATTTTTATGATTATCTAATAGAACTAATTCCAATGTAATAGCAAAACCATTTTTAAAATCAAGTGTATGAAGACAAGTAGCTAGAAGAAAGTTAAAAAGTTAAAAAAAAAAAGATACATATATCTATATTTACATACCTAACGTATCTGTGATACACCAAATTTTTATTGTTGAATCTGCAGATCCACTAGCTACATAGATATCATCATTAGGAGATTGTTGATAACCAACAACAGTCGTCACACTATTCTGATGTCCAACAAGTGACGTATACTTTGTATACTATTTTAGAAAAAAAATTTAGTAAATCTTTTTCTTTTTATCTAAACAAATTATATGACATACATCTTCATCTTTTCCTTTCCATAAACTGATTGTTTTATCAACAGATGCACTGAGAAAATAATAAAAATCACTATTTGAATCTATAGAAATAAAATAATAGAATTGTTGAAAAATACGTTTTTTCTTTCGTTCAACGAAACAAACTTCGTTGCTCTTGTCGAACCCATTTCACACAATTCAATCGTCCTTGATGGCCGGAAAATGTTTTACGTACAGAAAATGGAGCAGTCTATAATAGAAAAAGAAGTTATTTTCAAAAACACAGTTTACAATAAAATATTTCTGTCATACATCAGAACAAAGAGCTACACTATTTGTAACACCATAAATAAGTCGTGGTCCATTCTGCCAGTCGAGCGAATGTGGACAACAGTTACATGCAGCACTTATGTAGTCAACGTCGATCTTAATATCAGTAGAAACGTTTGCCATAGAAATCTAAAATACATTTATTTCACAAAATATCAACAATCAATGTCAATTATTCGATATGTCAAGTGAACGGCACCACAGTAAGTAGCTAGCTGAACACGATACTTAGCCGGGTGTAAGAGACACTTTCTATTGGATGTCATATCGACGAATAGAACTTTTAAGATAATCAAAATCATCTTTGTAGAGAACATATAGAAAACATGGCCGTGTTAACTTTTACAATAGTAAACGTTAATACATCTCTCATAGTCTTGAGTTAGAGTTGCAAATGCTAATGTTTAAATTCTAAATTAAATTCTAATTTTTGCAATAATAATACACATACAAATAAGCAAGAAATTATAAAAACCAAACTAGTCGAAATAGTCTGGTTATGTGAAATTCAAAATAACAAGTAACAAATCATGAGAATAAATTGCAACATTAAAACTAACAGATTTCAAAAGATGATGCAATGCTGACAAAAATAATTACATTCTAAATAGTTTCGTCTAGAATCTGATATGTGCTAGCGTCCAATAACAGATTGCTCAAAATATAGGATCTTCTTTGAGAATAGACAAAAATATAGAATTTTTTCATATTGATATTAATGAGTTCTTCAATTTAAATGACTTTGTTGCTTGATACTTTTTCTCGAGTGACAGTTATAATAGTACTGAACTGATAGATGGTAAAAATAGAATGAATATTATTCGTCAGATAAAAATGAGCAGTCATTTTCAATACTGCTAGTTGAATAAATAATACGAATGCTCCTATTCATGTGACAGCAAATTAAGAAGAAGAGTCGTACCAATTATAGAATATTATTCTTATTTTTATAGTATCAAATTCATTGACTGAATATAATGGAACAAAGAAATAGCTTGGAAGATCCGTTTTTCTTGAAGATACAATGAAATCTATGAAAGATTCATTTTTGTTTAAGGTTTTTCTCCGTCTCAAAAGCCAATCTTGGACCAAGTACATTCAAATTGCAAGAAATTTTCAGTCTTCTACCATGACATTTGCGAAAGATATTCAACAAACAAAGGTCAAAAATAGCTCGTTTGCCAACTCAAAATTTTGTATAGGTCTTCATTCTATATACTTAATTTCATTTTTGTTTGTAAGAGCATGTCAGCATGTAGGTTTTGACAAAGCCTTTTTGTTAAAATTATTACCTTTCAAGGAGAGACAAGAAATGGGAAGTTCAACATTTTCAAAAGCTTTCCAAAAATTGCACTCCAATTATGCAAACACAAAGTACTCGTTTGTATAATAGTAACAAAGCTTAATTCAAAATAGGAACTCTATCATGTTCTGCATCTTGACATGCTCTTTCAAACAGAACAAAAAGTAATTGGCTATAATGAAGCTCTTTAGGGAATTCTGGGATATGGAATCAAAAAAACATAAACATAGAAAAAAAAGAAAAAGATCTCCTACTTTTTCTGAAAAAGAAAGTGACGGAAATCGTTAAAAATTTTCACAAAAAAGGAAGTACCAAATACAAAATCATGCCATTCATGAAAGATCCTGCCTTAGGCTGTCCTTCCATGCATTTATCTTAAGTTCGATAATTCCTACGAAAATTGAGTTTTTTTTTAGGAAGGTCTTAATTAAATGAACTTTATTCAACGTTGGATATTATTATTTGAATTGTGTTATGAAAATAGTCTTAATTTTTACATGTTCAACTAAAATAAATGAAAGTCCATAAAACTCTTCATCGTGTAGGAAATGATCATGGAACGACGATTAAAAATCTTATTCAAATACTTGTATTTCATATAAAAAGAAGTTGAGAATAGAATTATATTTGGTTTAACTAGAACATCATCAGGATTACATATAATGCATGACTTTGAATCACATGCATTACGATGAATGAATTTAATGAAGAATTAAACGGAAACCATATGTGTAGGTAGCTGGAACTCTTCTTCGTTTACTTTTTCAATTTTATTTTTTAAATAAATATTTGTGACTTAGCTGATAATGAATTATCAACTGATACTGGAAGACAATTGATTACAACTACATGAGTTGCCTAGTCCAACTTCGGATATAAATGAAGCTCTGCAACCTAAATGCTATTTTGAAAATAAATCAAAAAAATAATTTGAACCATCACTGTACTAAGAAAATAACCAAAGTCAAAGTTAAATTTTTTAGCTGACTTATAATCATAAGCGAAGTAAGATACCAATTATTGGAGCGTGTACGTATAGTTATAGGAGCTGAAATTCAATTGTTGTAATCTTCAATATATGTATATTTATACATGAAGCATCCAGCATCACAGCGTGGGGGGCGCGTAGCACCCAACGATGAGCCGCGACTAGCGCTCGTCTCTGTGTACATACCAAAGTCTACCTTCAACTGAATATGTTGAAAAAATTTTGCATCGGGTAAATTAATGCTGAAAAACCTCTAATTCAAGTATTCCTCAATGAATACTGTAAACTGTCTCAAATAGAGTCATTGTAGTCTGGATTACTGCACTTCTGTCTTCATACAATAACTATAATTATCCTGAACTTTGTATGCTGCTTTCTCTTTACCTTACTTACATAAAACTCATTATTTGAATTATAGTTACAGTTCAGATAAAAATTTTATCTGTAGCTTCGGCTACAAAAGTGGCTATAAAATTTCGAAAAATTTGACTTATTTTTGAACTTGAATTACGCATCTATTCTACTCCTGATGGTGATAATGCTCTTAAACTTCTTTTATATTATGAACAAAATAGTACGGGTAGTGTCCAAGAGACCGAATGATTTTGTAATGAATTTGACGGTATTGGACTTGCTAGTAGTTGTGTTATTGGTGTTGAATTATCTAAAAGTGATTGTCATCCTCCACCGAAATTATCCATGTATACAGTTAGTGCAGAAAAAAAACCTATCTGTTCCATCTATGAAAATGATAGAAGAAGAACCAAATTATGGTATTTATGGACAAGTTTGGTATATTAATACTGGTATAGGTCGTGAATTACCAAATGTATTATTACAAAAACAAGTATCTTTACCTAATTTTACTCACATTGTATTATGTTGTCATAATTTTCTTCAAAATCAAATGATCGAATTTCGATATGGTTTATTTCTTTCTGGTTTTGATTACCGGAGATGAGGTAAGTCAAATTCATTGATTGTAAACTTTTCTCTAATAGAGATTAAGTCATGGAAATATGAGAAGAGTACTTTAGAAACAATAAAAAAACTAATTTTGGAAAGTTATTTGATTTAGTCTTTTAGCCATCGAGAAAGTATTGTGAACCAATACAAGACACTAAACTTTCACTTATTCCAAATGTGCATGAAGTAGAACATGAATTACTTGTTAATTTTTAGATAGTATTAATGATCACACCCGCAATATGTCCGCCAACAGCAAAATATTGATTTACCCGAATTTTATGGTATTTCAATGGATGAACATGACATCATACTACAGCAGCTACCTATGTGTGACAATACGAAAGATGATTCATTAGAGCAGTTTTCTCTTTTTACATGGACTACTCGTTATTTTAATGAAACATGGAACGAGGTATTCATTTTGGAAAAACATATTACACAAATGTGGCAAAAAATATCTTACCATTTACCAAAAGCCGTAGCCATAATCAAACATCTTCGATTATTATTTCATACTATGGATGATAACATATTATTTTATCTTAATTCTCAAGAAGGTATATCGTCCGTATCAACCGAAATTAGCTCTCAGTACATTTTACCAAGCATTAAATGCAGTATTAAATGAATATTTCGAACAATGTACTCGACTAACTGAAGTCGAAAAAAGAAAATTACTATTCTTTTATTAATATCAATTGGCGTTGAAATGATACAAGGACTGATAGTTTTCAGTATAACTTTTTCTTCAATTGAAATAGATATTTAAGAAGATTCAACCCTTCATCTTTTTTCTCAATATTGTTTACATAATCATGTTGATCTCATCCAGACAATAATAATCTGTTTGATCAAAAAACAAAGAATTATGATCTTGCTTAGTCAGTTTTTTTATCTATCATGTTTAAAAAAAATTTGAATAGAAAAAAAACATTAAACCAATACAATGATTGCTATAATCAACTTGACGCTTAACAACCAAAGTAATTTAGTTCTTTGATTTTTTTTTATATTGTTGTTCAATAAATTGGTGGTACAGTTTGTGTTTCTATCCAAGCTCGTTGTGATTCTGGCATTTGCCATCGTTCAACCTATTTAAAAAAAATATATAAAAACAATATTAACTAATCCATCTATTTTGATTGAATTTACTTGACACCATTTTTTCCATTGATTTAATCGAACTAACAATTCATTAGCATGTTGTACTTCTTGTCCAATATCAGTAAACATAAGTAGAACAGTAATTGGTATTTGCGCTTGTTGTCTACATAGAAAAATAAAAGAGGAAAAGATATTTTAAAGCAAACAGAACTTTGATTTACGCGCTATAAAATAATCGATTAGCAATACCACCACCAGCAATATAATATCGATCACGATCTCGTACAATTTTATGATGATGTTTATCTTGTCGTTCTTCTAATTCAAACCAATTAAGATCATTTGAATTAATTTTTGTTGTTGATAAATATCGAAATTGTTCGCTAACAAGAATAATTCAAATGAAGTTTCATTTATCATCTAGTATCTTTAAATATTCATACCCTGTTAATTGATTATCATTACGTTCAACGGCATTAAAAGCAGTTAAAATAATAATTTCTTTTAGCTGTTCATTTTTAAAAAATGCTAAAAGTTTATCAACAAATTCTTGTCGTTTACCCGATACAATATTACCACGTTGTTGAATAACAAGTATTTTTAAATTTTGTTCTTCATAAACTATAATCAAAAAAACAATCAGACATTCTTTGTTTCTATTCTGTTTATTAAATTTCTATTTTACCTTCAATACCAAATGCTAGATTTTCTCTATTTGCATTTTCATATGGATCATAAGCGATCACTGGTTCCACACATGTCCAATCAAGTATATGAACACTTTTCATATGTAAAGTATTAATCAAAATATCCACTGCCAATTGTCCAACATGACAATGACAAATAGATGGCTAAAAAAATCAATAATTCCAAAAAACAGGACCAACAACAAATCTTCGTATTCTTACCATAACTAATGTATATCCTTTCCAATCTTTTTTTTCTATTCCAGTCATTTTTAAATCTGAAACACAAATCTTACTAGATCATTGCTAAACAAAAACTCAAATGGTATTTTACACTTTATTTTAAATCAAGAAAAAAACACAATAAACTCGTTCATTGTGATAGTACAGTGTCATGATTGCATACGTATACATAAAGAAAATGATGAATGTAAAAAAAAGAAAAATAATAATGCATGCAATAACGCTCAAAGCAAATACTCGTATTACATATCACAACACAAAAGTGATAATACATCAGAGGAATTGTAATCATTGTGTTTTAATCTATTTTTGGTCTTGTAAATTTTATAAGTGTTTCTGGTGAACGAAATAAGAAAATAACTTTAGCAAATAGTTGTTCTTCAATACGTAACATATTATATTCTCGAACCAAATAGATATCTCGTAAAAGATGCCAAAAATGATCAACACTTGGTAGTTCATTAAACATAATTGTTTGACTTGTTTGCAAGATCGTACGTAACAATCGTGCAACAACAATTACAAATGTTGTATATAGACCAATAATCCTATTGAAAAATAGAAGAATTATTTAGAACAGCATAAATTTTTATTATTCTCTCTCTCTTAACGAAATTACGAAAGAAATATAAAATTTTGTAGCTACAAAAAACAAATGAAAAACAAAAGATCACTGATATCTGAACAGAAAAAAAAAAAGAAGAGATTTGACTATGACGTATTTCATGTCTCTCGTGTCCAATAGAGTAACAATTGTGGACTACGATAGATATAAATTAAACGATCAAAAAAATCATTTTCAATTGCATATTCATGAACAGTTCGTAATAGATTAATATCATTCAAAAAATGCCACAATGCATCAACTTGTGGTAATTCATCAAACATAATTGTATTCGCTGTACCAAATAATTGACCACGAATAAAAGATGCAACAACAGAAACAATTGAAATGTAGATACCAATAATACTACAGAGGATTTACATGAGAGAAAAATTTTTATATTTCTAAAGTATTAACTATTAGAGAAACATGTGTCGAGATAGTAAGAAGAAGAAGAAGAACAAGCTACTATTGCTATTATAATAGAGAAGAGGAATCGAGAAAAAAAAAACAAGAGCAAAGAAATCAAACATATCAATATATATATATGCATAACAAATAAGAAAAAAAAAGGAACAGAACATGCGGTGAATATTAGTTTGTTAATTTATAATCGAGCAAAGCTAACAGTAAAAAAAGCTATTGACAAACTTACCCATAACGAGTAAGAAATGAAATGTTAGCTGGTGAAATTTTATCATTGAACAAAATCATAGTCAAATAATTTTCACTGGAAGATGAACCTGTGAAAAAATACAAAATAATTTAAATCATATATGAGTCTTCGATATTTCATTCTTAATTATTGCCATATTTTGAAAATAGATTCTACATAAAAGAACTCTTTCTCACTCGATCGTATCTATAAATATTATTGTTTTGAACAATTTATCCATAGAATTCAGAAAAGTTCAAAATCGATCGATATCCGTTACAAGCGCAGAAAAATTCTTGAAAAATGAATTGCAAATTGCTGACATTTGTTAGACTTCTACTCTGAAACCTTCAATTGAAAATAATCCTGTATATACTCTGTGAATCTAACATATTTGAATGAAACTTTTTTCTATAGACATTTTCCTTGATTCTTGAATCTAATTGTGAGAAAGCATATATCCATCTAACAGTATACTTAATCAGGCATGGCCATAGGAATTTTTTCAATCCTCATTCTGTCAAATTATTTTAATTTCTTTGAAGAAATCAAGCTTCCCTCACTCGCCCAAATTCTTTCTCTGAGAACGTTCTCGTAATTATTCAATTCATTAATGACTTTTCATGCTCACAACTTAATTACCATCATTTTACGATAGCATATCAGAATCGAATTTTTTCTTTTGATTTACAACTGTTACATAGAAATAGTTCTTCAGAAAAATAGAATAAAGAAAAAAACTTTGATATAATTTGCACATTTTTATAATGCTTTTCTCTATAGGTATTGTGATAAGATTTTTTTTTATCAAAAATTCAATGATGTTGTACTGTATTCAATTTATTAACTTTTTTTTTCAACTTACATGATGGAGAAACTCTATATCCTACTCGATTTTCAGACATTTCCCACCAAACTTCAGTACTATTTGGTATTGATCTTGTTTGATTAAGACCCATTGTTATATTAGCATAATATTCCGTTGGAAAAACTAAATAAATTTATGTAATAATATAACAAAAAAACAAAATAATATCAATATGATACAAAAATACCTCTCCTGAATGCTTCAATATTCTCTGGTTTTGCTTTTGGTCTAACATGTAAAAATCGTGGCATTAAATTACGAATGGTGAATGTTCTAAAAACAAAAAAGAAAAACAAACATGAAACATTTATAAAATATTAATATCAAAACTTCAAGAAAAGAAAAACCTACGTTGATGTTTGTGAATTAAAAGTTCCATTAAGTATTTCAATAAGTGCGTTGCGAGTTTGTTGATCTTCTACTGTAATATCCACTGTATTTTCACCTGTCACAACTGCTGTAATATCTTCTGAATCATCTTGATTTGGTGGATTACGTGTTATTGTATATGAAAATCGTACCGGTACTGTATTATTTGATCGTAAATTATTTACAACAATATCACGTATGGGTTGACTTGTGTCCCATATATCAACACTTGTTGAAAATAAATTTACACAACGAATATCATCCGGATTAAAGTCACGTAGAAATCCATAAGCAGCATCCTATATAAATTTTAAAAAAAGAAGCAAATGATTTAAATATTAAAAAAAATTTACTTCAGTTGCTGGTTCGCGATTTGGTAAATAAATTGCTGTACGTAAACCATTATAATCAGCAGATGTAAATGCACGTAAATCAGTATCTTGGGCTGTCATTTGATAGATTGGCTATAAAAATCAAAAGAATTAAAAGAAAACAAAGTTTGTTTTTTTTCTTCTTACCAAATAACCACCTAATTTAATTTCAACGCTAACTTCTGTTGGTGGATTTGGTTGATAAAATGATGAAGTGAATGAAAAGAACAATAATGGAAACCATATTAATAAAATTAATAAAGCTAATAATGAACCACCAACACCATATTTCGCTACTTTTGTTCGAGGAACACCCCGTTCTGTTGGATATTTCTAAAGAAACATAAATAAAAAATTATTACATTTTTCATTACTTACAGAGTATTTCAAAAGTCAGCCGTGAAATAAAACTACAATAACTATATAACGATTCACATAAGATTTTCATCATTTCATAGGATATTTTCGAAAGTTTTATTTCATATGATTTGAATCATAGTTATTATTTCCAATGACCGGCTCAATACTAGGGCCTGAAACCATGTGTTTTGAAACACATGTAAAAAACTAATGTATAAAGTTTGTTCTGAGACCATGGTGATCTCATCATTGATTCTAACATATATATCAACACAATATATTTTGCACTGAAATTAATATAAAAGCTCTTGTTGATATGTAGATAAGAATCAATGATGAGATAACAATGATTTAAGAACAAGCTTTATATACTGATTTTCTGTAAATGTTTTGAAAGGTAAAGATTTCATGCCCTATTGTTGATGCCGATCATTTGAAACATTAGTTATGAACGAAATTATATGAAATAACACTTTCGAGAGTATTCCATGAAGTGATGAAAATCTCATGTGAGTCACTCGAATCGTTAAAAAGTTATCGTAGTTTTATTTCACAGCTAACTTTTGAAACATCCTGTATTTTTCTTTTACTTTTTCTGCCCATCTTGCACATTTAAGTAAATAAGTATTTGAATAAATATCTTCTAATTGTAACCAATTTGTTAAACCAAGTGCCGTATCTGTAAACATCCAATCCATAATTGTTCGTAATTCAAGCAAGAATGGAATTAATAAATAACTAAAACAGTATTATTATTATGAAAAATTTTTTGTAAATAATTTCTTTTTACTAAAATTCTTACATTCGATATAATATTTGATTAAGATAATTAAAACGTTTCATAAGAAAATTTCCTGCAATACGTTTTGGATAACCTAATCGTACTTGTACTGATGAATAACCAAAATAAATACATTTGAATATATACCAAAATTGAGCGGCAACATTATCTTGAAATTTCCTTTTAAAAAACAAAATTTTTTTCTTCAATTTTCAATAGTAAAAAAAGTAAAAATTATTTTTCATACATTCGTGTTATTCCAGGTAAAACAAAAAATAACCATATATGTACAGCTATAACTTGAAATAATTGAAAGAATAATTTACCACGTACATTACGACGTAAATAAAGTGCACGATCAATTATAATTAATATAAATTGAACTAATAATATAACAAGAAAAGCTACAGGAACCTATAATAATCTTTATTAATAAAAAAACGACAGCTAAATATAGGGTTTTTTTTTTACTTTATTTTCTTGTATTGTTTGTACAACATTTCCACCACTTCGTTCCTAAAAAAAATTAATTTTCTTTTTAATAAAACAAAAAAAAAATGAAAGGGATAGAGGTGCAAATAATAGAAAAATCCAATCCGTGGGAAAATTTTTGTTTTAATCTCGGATAATTAAATTTTAATCACGATATGTGATCTATTACCCTATATCTTTTTGTTATCTGTAAACAGAAATTTTTAAAATAAAAAAAAAAAAAAAAGAAAAGAATGTTAATTATTTAAAAGTACATACACCAAATCGACTATAGAAGAAAATAACAAGAATCATATTAATAAAATCACAAAAGAACATTGGTGCATAAACATCACGAACAAATAATGCTTGTTTAAGTTGACGATAAAATTTTAGAACTGGTTTCATAAAATAAGTATCTCTAAAAAAAACAAGAGAAAAAGAAATATTATCTAAATAAAAAATATTGAATAACAGAAAAAAACCAAGCTAAAAGAAGATGTAAACATGCTTGACTAATCATCTTTTTATTTGTGTGTGTGTGTGTTAGGATTCATACCTCATGTTGTATATAAATCTGTTCGTAATTTATATGTATATAATATAAGAATGAATTTTTAAATTACTCACCTTTTTATTCGTGTTGTTTCTAATGGATTAATGGATTCTTGTTGTTGTTGTTGTTCACTAAGATCAGCATCTGAAATCATTGAATCTAAATATTCAATGAATGACATTGTAATAATATACTAAAATATTCTTCGTCAAAAGTATATAATCATTAGAAAGCTGTCCTCTTTTTTCCGATAATTCAATGTTACATCAGATTTCTTTATATAAACGTAACAAGGCGTATCTATATGATGATTTAATGGTTTCGGTTTCATGTAATACTTTGAAAATCGAATCAGAATTGCTGAACATCTAATCATAACTCGAGAAGAAAGCAATAAGGAAACGAATCATTATTGGTTTTGCTTATTCTCAATAGACTCTACCTAATGACACAAGTTCCATACTAAAACGTTTTTTTATCATCTGGACAGATTCACTGGTGAATTTTTCAATCGTTACAATTTTCATTATTGAAGTAGAAAAAATTTAATTTTTTTTTTACATACTATTTGGTGTTTTTTGGTCTGCTTTCCAAAGTCCGAGTTGCTAGGAGAAAAAAAAACCAAGAAATAAAATAAAAAATTTCGATAATATTTTAACTTATACTTTTAAAATCGATCGATGAAGAAATAAAGATAAAAGTAAAAATAAATCAACAAATGACGCTGCATTTTCTTTTCGATTAATTCCAATAATATTTATTGCAGCTAATGGACGAACATCTGCTGCATTAGCATACCATGGATAAAATTGAAATTGAAATATATATTTAACTACAATCATTGCTTCTGTATATGTTAAAACAGTAATCCAATAATTTCGTGATGGTCGATGTGATAATGTAGCCCAAAGAAATATTGATAATGGTAATGGCATTGATAAAAGTGTACCTGATGTTAAATGATTTAGTACCATAGTTGAATAACATAAAAGTTCAGATCGAGACATAGCAAAATAAAATAAAGAATCGAATAAACGATAAAGACGTGAACGTTGACTTAAATCACTTGATTGAGATATGTTTCGAACATGAACATTTCTAAATAACAATCAAAAAAAAAAAATAATAATAGAAACGAAAAAATCTAGAAGAGAATTTACTGATTTAGATGATCACCAATAGCCATTTGATCAACATTGATGACTGACGTCTAGATAAAAATAAGATTGAAAATTTTCAAGAATAATTTAAAATAATCTTTACTTGATCAGTACTTGTTTCCATTCGCATACGTTCATGTTGAAAAATTTTATCTTGAGATTTCATTTCAGCTAATTTATTTGAAACTTCTCGATAATCACGTGAATTTCGATTAAAGAAATCAATAAAATAATCAACAATAATGCAAATAATTAAACGAATTTTAATTAAAATTAATCTCAATTTTGTTTCAGATTTTTCTTCTGATATAAAATAAAATCATTAAAAATTTTATAATAAATTCAAAAACAAACATAAGAATCTACCTTTAGGTTCAACAGAAGATGTTACTTGTTCGGGAGTTGGTGAAGTTGGTATTACCTCAGTCGTTGTTCTTGCTAGTGATGGAGGAGTTGATGATGCTGTAGTTAATTTTTGAGTATCTAATTCAATAATAGATGATGTCCGAGGTTCTGTTAGAAATATAAACAAATATCGATGTTTATACGATAATCGAACATCAACTTTTCCAAAAACTTACTTTGAGTAGTGTCAGCAACAATTTCATCTTTATCATTTGCTGCTAAAACTTGAAAAATCTATAAGAGCAAAAAATTTTGTATAAGTTTTTTTTTTTTATTTTCTTTGATTTTATTTTTTCATTAATAAACCTGTTCTTGAGCAACAGTAACTTCATCTTGTTTTTCTTCATCAACATCTTGTTCGTCTGATTCATATTCAAACATATAATAATCACCCGATCGAATAGCTAAAATAATCTAATAAAAAATTTTCTTTTATCTTCATTTTAAACAAACCTTCAAAATGTTCAGATGTTTCCATAAGTACTGAAGCATTTTTACTATTTGATTCATTTAATTTTAATTGTTGTTCTTTAATACGTTTTAAATTTCGAGTTATTTTTGATACAGTTTCTTCTTCACGTTGACGATCTTCTTCTATTCGTTTACGTGATATTTCATTAAATAAAGCAGCACCTTGACTAGCTAATTTAGCTTGAGAACGAAGTTCAGTTACAATATGTTCCCAATAATAACTACCAAATATACGTTTTTGTAATAATAAAAATATCATACAAACACCATCCCTATAGATTAAACAAAATTTTTATTTAATAACTGTCGTTATAATCTTTTTTGCGGAGGAAATGATCAAAACATTAAAATTTATGACATATATTTCAATTTTCTTCTCTTGATATATCGTGATTAGAGATATGTAAAGTCAAGCTCCGATTTCGTCCTTATAACTTCTTTTCTTGTAGTATAGATGCTACTTTTTTAGAGTCCGACAGGCTCAACTGCTCTTCAGAATTATAACTGTAGATCTGCCATATAAATTTATAGACCGTGAATCATAAAATATTAAAAATGAAAGTCTTCTTTTCATCGTCGTACATATACTGATCGCCTATTATTACTCATTGATCATAGAAGACGTTTTATTTCTCTCGAATCTTTCTATCAAAGATGTTAGTCAAAATATATATATTAATAAAATTTTCATTGTAATGACTTATCATTATTAAATCATATTATTTACATAAAAAGACTGGCATCGGCAGCATTACGATCACATTGTTCATTAGTACCTAGAATTCAAATAACAGACAAATGAATTAAAAATTTTTTTTTTCTTCTTTCAAACAAAAGCGAGAAGATCTAATCGTATGTACCATTAGAGGATCCAGGACAATTATTTGAAGGTTTAAAATTAGATTTTAAGCATGGTACAAACAAATCGACTAATGTGCAAAATACAGATGTGCGTGATGCCATCGTACAAGTTGACGATGGATAAAGAAATATACAAACCACCACCTAGAGAAAAAACCAACATAAGAAAATAAAATTATATTCTAATTATTTCATTTAAACAAAAGAAGAGAAAACATGCTTAACAAAATAAAATATTCGTCCCCAAAGAAAATGTATACATTCAAGGAGGGCTTAAAAAAAACAAGAGGAAACCTGTTGCAGAAGTAGGACTATAATCATTGAATCTTTGAATGCCTGATTTTAAACAAGCTATTGCAAACGTTTCCTGTATGAAACATTGAGTTGATAGAATACCAACACAAGCAACAACCTGAAAGTGTTTATTTCTCATTTATCTATTATTAATATTATTTGTCAACAAAAAAAGAAAAACCATCCTTCTTAAAATTTCTTTTGACATACCTGTAAACATGTTTTTACAAATATTACCAAAAAACAATAATAAATTAAATAATTCCATCTAAAACAAAAACAAAATATTTAAAAAAAAAATGAAATCAACATATTATAGAAGTCATTCAACATACAATCGAATCATAACCGTAACTCGTTTTGTTAAAAAATCTTGACCATACCAAAGAAAATAAAAACATGCAATAAGATAACCAAGACCAAGTAAACTAATACGTGTTGTACCAGCAAGATAAACAATTGCTAAAACACTCCATACACCATACATAAATATAGCATATTTTATATGATCAAGCCAATGTCGTTTATTTGTTACAAAATCCCATGTTGGATTATTTTTATAAACATCATCATCATAGATTATTTCACGATTTGATCCACCAGCATCAGCATATACATGATCTTTTTCATTAGTTTCATATGCAAATACATTCCATTGTTGACAAGCAAATAAAAATTGAAAAAAATCAGCTAAAAAATTTTTTAATAAAATATAAGAAATTTAATATCTATTAAAATATATTACTAATTAATTGAGTTGCTAATGGTCGTTCTATATAATCAGGTAAATAAAGCCAAAGTTTTAATTGTGACCAACCCCGTATATTAACATTTGTCCATGGATATTCTACAAATAATTGAAGATTTTATTCAACTTTTCAAACAATAATGATTAATTATCTCCTTTGAATTTTTTTGTATACATATTCAGTATTAAATAGAAATGTACGAGGTCAAGAGAAAAAAACATTGTTCGAATCAAAACTAAAGTTTATAGTTACTGTTTTAAATCTTTCTTAAGCAATTAACTTCTTGAAAAATTAGAACTTTAATCGGTATACTTGCATCAATATATATATATATGACTAGTTCTCATAACTTTGAACTGAAAATCTTAAAAATCGTTTTAGTTATCTGAAAAAGTTTTTTTCATTAAAAATTATGGATAAATCAACACATCATTCAAGAAAGATAACAAAATAGTGCTGCTCATCAATTAAATAAGTTTGGAAATAATTTTCTCTAGATCGGGACCGAGGCCAAATCAGATTTATCGGAATTATGATGAGAATCACTTTAAATAGAAGTTACCATGATCGAGACAAATTAAAACCTAGTCTCACGCATCACAGGTGTCGAACTATAGTACTCTACGATATTTTGTTTGTTTCATAAAAACAGAGATATTGAGATTTTCTTCAAAGTCATGATGATTATCCTCTCGTTAAAACATGCATCATTACTCACCAAAACAAAGAATTGGTGGTGCACCAACAACACTCAAATATTGTACTGAATACAAAATAATCTGAAAGAAAATATAAATAGGCCATATACGTTTAATGAATCGTCGACTTGAAATTAAAAATAGACCAAGCCATATTGCATAAAGAACAGCTATTATATCAAGACGAACACCAATAACAATTACTGTTGTTACATAACATATCTAAATAAAAATAATAATAAATATATAGATAAAAATTTTTAAAATATATTCTTACTTCCAAACCAAATCGATAGAAAAGAAAATTAATTAAATATTTTAAAAAATTAATTACACCTCGATCAGCTTGTTGATAACTACTAATATCATATTGATAAGTATCATCATGAAGATTTTTTAATGCAAATGGTTCAAATAAAATTGGAAAACGATTTTCAATAATATGAACATTAAAATGAACTGATAATGTTAAACGACGATGTCTTTGTCGATATCGTACAATTGCATCAAATGTTAAAACAATTGTCAATAATATATACATCTACGACAAAAATAAAACAATCTTTTTTTCTTGAAAAGAATATTCATTTTATTTTTTTTTCTATTTACTCCAACAAATCGATCAATATTTGTTGTTAATTCAAGACCAAACCATTTTGCTGTATCATTAGGAATTATATTAGAATTTGAATCAAGTGTTTCATTTGAAGGAATCTTAATTAATCATTCGATTATTTTTAAAAAAACGAAAGTCTTTTGTTTATTTTTTCCTTCTTACTTGAGAACAATTCTTAACAAAAATATCTTTTTCAGCTATTAGTTGTTTTACTATTTCTAATTGATAACACATCGATGCAAGAATATAAAGACCAGTAATAATTAATGTTAATAAACTAATTAATAATCGAAGACGTAATAATATTAAACCAATTATTGTTAAAATAATTAATGATATATTATATGCACAAACCTAAATAAGAATTAAATACAAAAAAAAATGATTTATATTTTTTTTAAAAAAAATCATATAGAATATGTGTTTTACGTTAAGTACAGCAACAAGAACCATTATAAAAAGAACAAGTTTATATGAATGTAATTCAGCAAAACGCCAACTATAATAAACTATTTTTTTATATAAACGATTTGCTCGAAAATAAAATTTGTATAAAGATTCTTGCCAAGTTTTTGGTTCACTTTTTAATATTTGTTGACTATGAGGACTATTTAAATTTTTAGTATTTTCTAAATAAAAATAAAAAAAATTACAAATAAACCATAGTAATATACAAAAGAAAAGAAAATTTTACCTTTGGCGTATGCATGAATATCTTGTAATGTGCCATTTGCTGTACCTTGAATATTTTTATCACTAGAAAATTACACAAATTAAACAATAATTTCTTCAATGGAAAAATTCAAAAGTAAAACAAAAAAATAGAGATCGCTCATGCTTGTTTTTTTGTTCATGACGGTAATTAATACTTTTCAGATTCAACAAGCAGCTCGTAAAGAGAGAAATACAGCGCTTAGTATTATGATCATATATCTCAAAACTTTTATATTGGGTGATGCAGATCATTACTATCTATGTAATTAGCTTGTAGAAACAGCTCAGGAAAAAAGTTAGATATAAGATATTGTAAAGTCAAATAAAATACAATAAAAAGACGGTATCAACCACCCACATCCATACACAAAATTTTCTGCGTTCATGAAGGTAACAACGACTTTAAAATAAAAAATATCGTAAAAAGGTAGTATCTTGGTAGTAGTAATAAATTAACATTGCGAACTCTTTTCAGTGTATTTAAACGTTTCAGTATTTTTAATATGAGCCTACTTGTTTGATTAGATATTATTCAATAAAAAATCGAGCTTTTTTATGTTCTATTTTAATTCGAATTCTTTAAATTGATTTTGGAAAAAATGAAATTTAATATTTAATCATTTTGAAGAATATTTAAGATAATTACCTGGGCATTGTAATTAAATCCATCCAACCAGAATGAAAATAATATAATTGCATTATATTAATAATAAGAAATGCACTTGGTGTCAGTAATCTAACAGCCAAAACATCTGATCGAACAACTTCAAGTCCAATTGATGTAAGTCTTTAAAGGCAAGAAAAAAAAGACAATGAAAATATTTGTTTTACCTTCTAATCAAAACTTACAATTCTTCACTAAGTCTTGCCGATAAAAATACATTAACTACTTCAAACTAAAGTATAAAAATTTTGTTTAATATTATTCAAATTACTTAAAAACATTACTTGATAAATATATAATCCAATTAAAATAATCATTGAATAGATAATAATCGTTAAATGAAATGTAGATGCTGTTCTTCGCCAAAAACCAAATGAAATCTTCAAACAAAAACTTCATTTTTTTTTCTATTCCTTTACGCTAAAATTTTCTTACTTGAAATGAAAGTATGAAGAATAAATAAAAGACCATATAGATTATTCGATAGATCACCACAGTACCCCGAATACTAACAATTAAAATCATTCCACATGAAACAAATATCCAATATTTTGTTAAAAAATTAATAAACCATTGTCCTACAATATACCAAATTTTGTTTTTTGTCAAAAAAATAAAAAATATTAATATTTCTTACCCAGCCGTCCACCATATGAATCTGCTGATATACTGAGTCGATGACCTATAAAAGAAAAAACATTCTAACTATTCAAACTTATTTAAATAAACAAATCCACCAAAAAGAAAAATCACAGATCTAAAATGTTTTTTTTTTGCTTTGTTATCCGTTATGTTTAATTCTATAGCTATAAAATTTAATTCTTTTTGTTTTATTGTTCTCAATTTATTTCATTTATAACTAACCTTCAGTTGATGGAGCATTAAGACTTCGTCTTTCATTTATATATTGTCGGAGTGTTAACCAAAAAATCATCATATACAATGACTAAAAATTAATTAAAAAAATTAATCTTGATTAATTTTTTGTTTTTTGTTTTGTATTAACATACTTTAATAAGTAATGGAATAAATGCTGGATAATAATCATTTGTTCGAATACCAATTTGTTCCATTGTACGACGATCATAAGAAAATTTAAATTGATCATAACTTATTCGAAAACCACTTATATATTGTAATATTAATAATATTCCACCATAAAGTGTAAAAAATGGACTCATTCTCAAACACCATTTTCGTGAATTGGGTAATACCCAAAGAAGACATGCCCAAATAAGAAATATTAATGTTAATAAACTATGAAATGTTATACTCCATGCCTAAATAAATTCATTTATTAGAATATTAAAATGAATTAGAATTCATCGTTTTTTTTTTGTTACCAGCATAGCAATTAATGATAATAAATAACTTTGCCGTTCTAATACACGAAGCAACGATAATATGACAAAAATTATTCGTCCTTGCCATGTTTGATCACTAGATTGATCTAAACTCCATCGAGGTTGTAAACTTCGAGAACTTTGTTCTAATGTATCTGGTCTGTCGATAGTGGCAACTAAACTCTATAATACATACAAAAAGAGATGATAGAAATTAATAGGATAAGGATAAATAAAGCTTTTGCATCAAGAACAAGAAGTAATAAATAAATAATTAAAAAAACCAAGCAAATCTTTTTGTATGGAAATTGAAATTTTTCGTATGAGCTTTTCAGCACAGGGAAATCGAGTACGAAGAATAACTAAATTAATCATGGTAAAGCAATGAAATGTGCAGCACCAAGAAAATTCATTGTAAAATGTGGAACTTATTTGAATAAGAGCTGTAATCTCTGACAGTGTGACATTTTAATATAAAATTAAATCATTAAAAGTAATTAGTTATCAATGCATAGAATCGAACTAGTCAATCCTCTATGAAAACAAACAATACCATGATAGCTGATCGTCGTCACCATTAGGTCGGTAATCCAAAGTACACATTTGACATTGTGTAAATTTCTAATAGAAACTAATTAATGAAGAAAATGCAATCTACACTAATATATGACAAAAATCAAACATATTAATTCACATCAATCAATAATTTATAATATTTTATTCTAATTGTTTTGTCTTTTTCATGATTTCTACACAATTTATAAATCCTATCTATGCACGAAGATTCTCCTGGGTACTTGAAATTCTCGTACTGAGCAATTGTTAAGCTGATTAATTTTTATACTAAATTTTCCCGGTGCTGAACTTTCCATGATTAACACTCTGTGCTGAATTTTCATCAAGCTTTCTTGTACTTTACTTTTTTTTTTGTTTCAATAAATAGAAGTCTATTTATACAGAAGTATAGAGAAGCAGGCACGCAATTTATATATAAATGTAAAAAAAAAAATAGAATCAGGGCAAACCTGTTTATCAACACTCCGACGAGAATTTATCTAGTTAATTTATACACACAATATGAGACAGATAATAAAGCATTAAAAATGAAACGATCATTTTATTTTTGATCTTCAATCGCTTTCTTACCTGTTGTTCAAGAGATTGTACGGTTGTTGTATTCGATTGTATTTTCTAAAGAATAGAAATCATTTTATAAAATATAAATAATTAATTTAATTTAATTTACTCGTTGAAAAAGTGCTCGATTTGTTTCAAAAGCAAAATAAAAATAAAGAAGCAAAATTGCACATGGATTAATATAATCATTCCATGCAAGATTAGTTGCAACATATGGTTCATTTTCTGTACAATTATTTATTATTACAATTGCTGTTAAACCTGTGATACTATTAAAAGAAAACAAAGAAAAACACACACACATACACATACACACGTGAATTAATATATTCGAATTAAATTTCTTACTTGCTCCATAATGATAATGGTGGTAAAGCTTCTTGAAAAAATGTAAATTGATATAGGTAAAGAATAAGTAAATGCATGCCCGTATAAATGACTAATAAAGCACGAACTAATTCATATTTTTTACCAAATTTAACAGATAATGACCATACAAAAGCAATAATAAGAAAGAAAATAAAATATATGGAATTGATTATACTTGGATAAACAAATGCAGCAAAACCGACAATAATAAATTGAATAAATAGACGTATACGTCTTACTATTGATAATAATCGTGGCCAAGAGCTTCTTTTAGTTGTTGTACTCGTACTACTATCCATTGATGGTAAACTATTTATTACATCGGATGCTATGGAAGTTTGAAGTTCACTTCTTTGACGTCGTCTTAAGAGTATTAACGTACGTCGGATAACAAAAAAACAAATTGTCGATAAAACGAATATGACAACATCAGGAACGATTAATCGTACGATTCGGATAACATTAGAATTATCCAAACTTAAATTAGAGTAAAAAAAAATCAATAGTTTATATTCAGACAAATATATTTATCTTGAAACATACCGTTCTAAACCAAAATATTGAAGAATCTCAGTAGTTATAGTACCTAATAATAAAATTAATGAAAAACTAATTTCATTTTCGAGCAATCCTTCTACATACAATTGTTAAGCGTATGACCATAGGGTTTATTGGCAAGAAGAATTGATTGAAAGATTATTTGAGCAATAATAGCGAGGAGACTAATAAGACCAGCAGCAAGAGTTAATAAACGATAACGAGCTAAAATAGAATTTTCAAATTTTATAAATTCGAACATTTTCATATTTTCTTTTTTTTTTTACTTCGAATATTTTCTCTGTTAATTGTACCCAACCATGGAATAATAAGTAGAAGAACACCATAGATAAATGAGATAAAAGAGAATCGGAAAATAGTTCCTAAAATTTTTTTTTAGTAAAGTAATTAATTAATATTAAAAAAAATAGAAGATTTTTTTTTTACCGCTGAGCAATGCAACAGGAAGAAGGATAAGTATAAGACCAGATAAAATAGATCGAATCATTAGTGATAAATTCCTATACATAAAAAAGAAAGAAAATAAGACAACCATTCAGTTTATGAATAATAATTATCAAATTATTTTTTCTTTCTATTTCAAATGTCAACACATTTGAATACAAAAACAAAATAATGTCAAAGGTTCGATAATTTGTAGTTTGATTTAGTTTTATCACGTTATCGAAAATTCCGAATGTTAATGGTAATGTCGAATGTCGGCAAGAAATTCAGTCACGTCTACACTAATTGTCTATATGATATGTTTTACCCTTGACTGTTACTCTCCAATATCATGTTTCTCTTAAAAATGCAAATGTTACAGAAAAAAACAGTATACACGAAAAGAAAAAATGCTGATTAAATCATAACTCATCAGTATATATGAATAGTCGCCTATGATTCATTGTACCTTTTTCATATGATTGTAATCGCATAAAGAATCTAACAAATCTAATACTATTACCCTTTTCTCTATCTATTTTTTTTCTTTTTGTGCTATTCAATCTGACACCATAATTTCGTTTTTCACGTCAAAAAATAAACAACAGAAAAGAGAATATTAATTTGATTCTATCAATCAAACATATTTTTAGAAAAAAAAAAAGGCGTTTTACTACATGCATTGATAAAAAGACCCATGACTGTAACAAAAAACTATAGCTTCAATGACAAGTGCAAGCATAGTATTCAAACGAAATATGATCATTATAGATGATAACTGATTTCTGACATTTATAGGAAATATGTCTTACTTCTTCTCGACAACTAAGGGTAATGGAGATATCAGAATAGGATCAGTAGATGATATAGCCGAAGTATCTCTTGGAAGTTCGGCAGTATTATGTATTGATGATAATTGATCAGATTTGGATGAATAGAATTCTTGTTGTTTTGCTGGTATTGAATGTCTAGTAGATGCATAATATTGATCCTTATTATTATCATCATTGTCATGATAATAATTTATTGTTTGTCTTCGTCTTGGTTGTAGATGTTGAAGTTCAATATCAAATGTATTCGTGGATGATACTTTTTCACTTGTATTATTAGTTGGACTTGAACAGATTTTATTCAAATACATCATTATGTTAATGATAAGTATACAAAAATAGATGATTCAATTTTCTTTAGTTTACTAATTGAAATACCAGAAATATGAGTAAAGTATGATAGATGAATGAAAATGAAACGATAGTTAGAGTGTGTCTTTTTTTTCTATTAGTAATGATGGAATCAATGGTAGTTTATACAGACGAATGTGGGCGTTGAAAAAAATTACAGATGAGAAGAGAAAAATGTATTTACAAATGACTTATACATTCTCTTTTTTCAGTTTATCGGGTTTTTTTTCGCACCTAATGAGTGAGGGGGAAGAGTTGATAGACATTTGTACATACTAACTAGAGAAGTATTCGTTTTATGTACTTTACTTTTCATTTTTTCTTTTATGATTTCATTCAATATCATAAATCATATAAAACAAAACAAAACAAAACAACATAAAATATGATTCAAGTGATTCTATGATTCAATATTCAAATCACTATTTATCTTACCTAATAATGCTAGAATAATTATATTTGTTGAAATATTGTAACTGTTCGTGGGATAATTTTTTTCTGTAATAAAGCTATATACAAGCAAAGGGAAAGAAGGAAAAGTAAAAGACTAATCTACAAAGACCAATAAGCAAATTGGACTTTTTATATCATTTTCTCTTTGTTTTTATTTATTTAATATAACAAAACAGTTTTTATTTTGTTTTCGGATCTTATAAACAACAACAAAAAACCAAATTAAAAAGAGAAATGATCTTTTTTGTTTTCTTTTTTTTAATATATCATTTTGTTTTATTTTTAATGATAAATTAATTGTAATAATTTATTATTGTTGTTGTTGTTGTCGAGCAAGTTTTTCGGCTACTTGTCTAGCTATTGTATCCATATTTTTTCGTCCAAATTGTGAAAGTACACGACCACCTGATGCATGTTTTTCAACAAGTTTAGCTTTTTCAAGTGATTGTATACATTTACGTACAACACTACGTGAACCACGTTGAAAATGAGATGGACGTACACCTTTACGCTTACGACCACCATAGACACGTGTAAAAGCACCAACACCTGTTCGACGTAAATAAAGAAATCGTGCTATTGATGCACATCGTGTATAATACCAATCTGGATCAACAGGTGCCATTTCTTTGTGAATACCTAATTTAACAATGTCTACCCAGTTACCAGATGGTACTTCAAGTTTGCCAGTTTTTTTGAGAAATTCAGAAAATGCAATGGTAAATTGTTGTTGATCAACATCTTTGACGGAGCCACGATCAATTGAATCCATTGGTATCTTAATGTGTTATTCACTTGGATTCTGTTAGAAAGACAAGAATCTAAAATTTAAAAGTAGAATTTTTCATATGATTTATTTTGTTCGTTGTAAAATATATTAATCAATAGGATGAAATACAGATAACGAAAACTAAAAAAATAAATAAATAAACAAATAAGAAATACTTTCATTATTATTTCAATGGCTTTTTCTCTCCTATTCACCATCGGTCCATTCACAGACATCAATCCTCTGAAGAATACTTGGAATAGAGATTTCTATGAAACTATAAGTAGAACCATTTAAAATCAATAAAAAATTTATTTCGATTCTAATTTAATGATTATAATGAAATATGAAAATGATTACATAAAAATTCTATAGATGTCGTAAGTCGATGCATCGTTACATCTAACCATTATATAAGTATTCTTGAATTCGTTATAATTATAATTCAAAACCAACAGTATAAATGATTCTGTATTGAAATAGATCAAGAAAAGTTATATTGTGTCGATTGTTTTGTACTATTCACAAAATAAAAGGTTTTTAGAAAAAAATCACGCAACGAGTAGCATGTCAAAGTTGTATCATGCGATGTCAATCATTTCTTTATTAATTGTCACAGAAATAAAATTATACAATATTGCTTATTTGAAATAAACTGATTAAATTGACTTTTTTGACAACTGCATCATGGCTAAGACTAGTAAGTTAATAAACGTTCAGTGAAATATCCTACTAAATCGTCGATCGTCTTTTTCTAGTTGAATTACCGATGTAAAAATAATTCAGCGGAAGTGATTGAACTTATCAGTAATGTGAAACTTCAGTTGACATTCCAGATTAGATTTCAAATTATTGTTGTCAAAATTTTCCGTCTTCGTCATTAATATTCAAAACAGTCTTATTGACGCTGTTGAGAATGAATTGAACAAAGTATTCGCCTAGAGTTATTGACTAAAGATGTCAAAGTAATAGAAAAATATTACGTCCAAATAATTGCAGAAAATTTTGCTTGTTTCTTTTTCAGAACGGTTCTATAAAATGTTGCAAAAATTATGCAAGCTTCATTAGTTAATATAAGTATCACATTTAGTAGAATATGTCAACACCCATCTTTTATCAAACAAATTAGGAGAAACTATTGACTTAACACTGTACAAAGAAAAATAGAAAAGAATCATATCGCTATACAATGTGAACCATCCGATAAGGTGTATGATTGACAAGTGGATTACATCACTGACAGTGTGTTAAGCAACCTATCTTTCATACTATATTCAGGTTGCTATGTTTTCACTTTTTATTCTTATCAACCACTACTATCGTAATTCTATATTGCTTCTTTGTGATCATTTCGCTACAGAGTAGTGTTACTGTCCATGGCTGTAGAAGTGATGTAGCAAGAAGTTTTTCTTACACTCTTTGAAATTCATTTCAACTGACATTGGATTATAATCGTTCACTTTACGTTAGTAATTACTTCAATATTATAAATATCAAGCTACCAAAAAGATCTTTAATTCGTTTGATCGTCGCTAATACGAAAACTGAAAATATTAATGACATTCATCTGAGTGAACCAAAAGAATTGTGTGCTGACTCGAGATTGACTAGGTACGTAGTTGATAGTTTTAACTACTTTGCAATACTATGTCCCAAATGTTTTTTGACTGGCAGTCGAGTGACATGCACTGGTAGTTCTGAAAATTCAGCAAATACTTTGGATCTTGTATTCGGATTGACTATAGACTCACAAAGAGATATTGATACAAGGAATACTCCTAATCAACGAAAAATGATTGAGAAATCAAGTCTCAAGAATGATTCTCGTGTAATAGTTAGTAATCAATAATTCGATCAACAATATAGTCCATAACTTGATGTATCCAATGTATAATTATACGATGCTGATTTTTGTGAATGTCATGTCGAGCGACACTATTTCTGTGTCATGACAAATGTTACGAGTGTTGCTGATATGAATGAACCGAGAGTAGGGAGTTATCAAATAAATTTATCTTACAGTGTGTATGTGATTCAATGAAAACGGAAGTAATCGACGTTATCACTAGTTATGTCAAGAATTGCATACAGGCTCCATTCCATATTATCATTTACTTATAAGAACAACATCATATGTATTTAATAACAGCCGGACAGCCTTATTCCTATTTGCTATTCGAATATTGAAATCCTGAAGCAATAAATAGTCTAAATATAGAAGGTATTACTGTGCAGTTTGAGTGTTACTAATGAAATTAAACTAAACTGACCTATAGATGTTACTTTCAGTCATGACGCAACTTATTTCTATGCGAATTATTACAACAATCATAGGCTTTAACAGTTCAAACTCATGTAATAAATTCTGCAGATTTCCATATTTTTGACGAAATAATTTTATCTTATACGTGTTGTTTATTTCACCGATGAGTATTTCTGTATATACTGTATTACTAAAAAAAGCAACGTGATTTATTATCGTTGAAAGACTCAGCATGATAAAAAGAAAGAAAGGAAGCCCTAGAAAACATCGAAAATCGTTCGAGAATCATCTCACTAAAAAAAAACCTAAACAAAGCTTGAACCTTGAAAAAAAACACTTCAAGATCAATTTTATTATTTTATTATTTTTATAGTCTTTGGTTAGGCAAGAAAAAATTATCAGAATAAATCGAAACTATTTTCTGTTTTATTTTAATATGTTTTGTTGCCAGTGAAATCATTTCTTTCTATTTATGTCGCTACTCATATTCACATACTTGACGAAGAAACAGAAGTGGCACATGGATGTAACATGATGTATATAGATGCATGATTTCAGACACATCAATCTTAAGTGGTTTCTTTCTTTTTTTTTTCAAGACTGAGAGAAGTATATATCATTAAACCATTATATTATTCTTTTTACTCGTATATTAAATTTCATTATTTTTCTGACAATAATTTTTATTTTATCAAAAGTATTTTTTCTCTAAGCAGACATCTTGAAAAGCAATGAGACTATATTTTCTGTGTAACATAAGTAATGAGAGAAATTCGATTTAGTAAGGCCCCTATCGTTTTAACTTAGCATTGGTTTACTATTGCAATACATTATTGGTCAAACAGATAAAATCTTTACATTGAATGATTCATCAACCAATGAAATAAAATACAAATAAAAAAAAAATGTTTTTCTTCTTTGTGAATAATAATACGGACTGCTACGTCACCCTAACCTGGCTATTTTGTTCTTCTATTATATAAAAATTCTCATCTCTATATTCTATGTTCTTGAATTCGTTAACAATTTTAACGACAACTATTCAGTTGTTACCATATTGTTGTTGCAATTTTCGTCAAACATATGAACAATTAATTTATTTCAGTTTTTTTTAGATAAGAATGACGCTTGATACATTAACCCTTACAATTATTGGTGGTGTTAGTATTGTTTGTCTTACTTTATTTTATATATTAAAAACTAAAACTTCACCCGGTAATACAAAACAGAGTAAACAAACAAATGTAATGATTACACTGAAAAATCCTGACATAAAATATACATTTCCATTGGTTCATAAAGAAAATGTTTCTCATGATACACGTCGGTTTCGTTTTCAACTTCCATCATCAAAACATGTCTTGGGTTTACCTGTAGGTCAACATATTTATCTAACGGCACACATCAACGGTGAACTAGTCAAACGTCCATATACACCAACAACATCTGATGATAATCAAGGTTATTTTGAACTTGTAATTAAAGTTTATCCTCAGGGTAAAATGACTCAATATCTTGATAAATTTTCTATTGGCCAAAAAATTGAAGTTAGTGGCCCATCAGGCAATCTTATTTATCGAGATAATGGTTTATTCGATATACGTCCACGTAAACCCGAACCATTTGTCAGTCGACGTATTCATAGACTTGGTTTAATAGCTGGTGGTACAGGTATAACACCAATGTATCAAATATTGAATGAAATATTGAAAGAACAAACATCTATTGTGCCTGGTGATCGTGTTGATATAAAAATGTGGCTTCTATTTGCTAATCAAACTGAACAAGACATTTTATTACGTGAAGAATTAGAATTATTGGCTGCATCGAATTCTGATCGTTTTAAATTATGGTATAGCGTTGATCGTGAAAGTGAAGAATGGAAATATTCAAAAGGTTTTATTAATGAAGATATGTTACGTGAACATATGCCACCACCAGGTGATGATGTTTTAATATGCATTTGTGGCCCACCACCAATGATTAAATTTGCATGCGTACCAAATTTAGATAAATTAGGTTATACTAAAGATATGCAATTTACATTTTAAAGCAAGAAAAATAAAAGACTTAAATTCTTTTGTCTGTTTGAATGTTTTTTTTAAAAGTTATGGATGGGTTTTTTAGAGTTTCTTTTCTTTCACAGTAAAATAAGATAACATGAAAAAAGAAAAAAGAATAATTTTTTTTTTCTATTAATTAATAATAATTTGAACACTTTTTTAGATAAATATCTCTTATATTTCACAATATGTTTACTTGGAAGATTGATATCAATTGTATGCCTGTGTGTGTGTGTGTTACTTATTACATCATCTTTATAGAAAAGAGAGTAGTACTAGAATAGAGTGATGACAATTTGCGTTGAATATTTATGCATGGATTGTAACATAGTCGGCATATAGAGATTTGTTTATGTCCGATTAGACAAGCAAAGGTCATCGTAGGTACGACGTGAACGAAGTCATTATTATATGTGAACATAAGATAGACAAACGTTATTCTCTACATACTTTGTATGTCAAACATACAAAAAAAAATTTGTTGTCTCTAATCGATACTTGAAATAGATTTTATGTGAATGTATGTCTCTTTACATTCTCGTTCGTAAATCAATAAAGTAGGTGGGACTATTCCCTAAGGACGAAAAAAAAAAGAAAACTAAAAAAAAAACATAGACAAGAATAGTATTGTTGTAGTCAAGTTTGCTTTGATCTTGCTTGAATAGAGATCATATTGCAAATAAATACATATATGTAGCGATTGTTTCTTATAAAATTGACTTCTGTCTACTATCGCTGTCTATTTGAGGAGTCGAAAATAAATAAATATTGATGTTGATAAAAGAAACAGAAAAAAAATCACAGACACAATTAGAAAGAATAATAATGACGACTGAGAAGAAGAAGTGCGCGTGCATAACTATATCGGATTTCAAACAGTTTTCTCTTAAAGATGTGTATGTCTATGTTTTGTGATTAAACAAAAGGTATATGGTGATAGTAGGAGTTGTTTGTTTCATTTCTTTTTCTTGTTCTTTTCTTTTTCTTTTCTTTTCTTTTCTTTTCTTTTTCTTATTCTTAAAAGTTTATCTGAACACATAGCGAGCGGTCGAGTAGGTGGTTGAGGTAGATGTTAACCTTTCTTCATTTCTTTCTCACTTTCTTCTCTTCTCTTCTCTTCTCTTCTCTTTACCTCTACCGGCATGAAAAAAAGAAACACGAAGAAGAGAAGAAAAAAAAAGAGAATTGTACATTTAGAGTATATGCTCGAAAGGGTTGCGTTAAAATGAAGGTCACTATTGCCAGCTCATAAACGTCCCCTATACATTTATACAAGCATAAAAGAGGTCTCAGAATAGAATCGACAAGTAGTCAAACATTATAAAAAGAAAGAAAGAGTAGTATTTTCTTATATGCTTGCGTCATTGATTCAGCGATATTATTTTGTTGTTGTTGTTTATAGACAGCTGAAGGGCTCCCTATCGACGTGGACTACGAAGGATGTGAATTATTGTGATGCGTGATCGACAATCGTCGTCGCCTTTCAAATTATTCATAGCGTCAAAAAATATGGCCTCAACAACGTCTACTAATGTTAATGGTAAGATTAGAAAATATGTCATTTTGAAGTGCATAAATTAAAAAGTCATTTACAATCTTAGAGCTTCTACCCGGTCTTGAATCATTTCTTCGTTCAATGTTAAACAGTACAAATTTAGATCATGATCATCAAGAAATTGCTGCTATGTATGTTAGTAAACTTGATCAATTAGGTAAACAAGTAAATCAGCAACAAACATCTACTATTGATGATCAATCATTGTAAATAAAATCAATTTTAAAGATAACAAAAAACAAAAAAAGAAAACATTTTCTCTCTATATTTTAAAGAATTAATACAGATCTTGTATCTGAAGAAGAAAGTGATGATTTTACTGATGAAGAAGAAGAACAACGTAAGAAAGATCTCGAAGAACAACAACAGCAACAACAAGAATCAACACCCATTGTTTCAAGACGTTCATCAGTCACTGATAATCAGTTATATCATAGTACAAGCCGCAAATCAAGTAGTAGTAATAGTCAATGGTATATAGATATACCAAAGAATGCTTATTTAGAAGCATTACCAACACAATCATCAAATGGTAATAAATTTTTATCTGATAAAAAGAAAAATAACAACATTGTTTGGATTTTTTTTTCTTTTTCGAAAATAAAACTACAGGATATAATGCTAGTTTATCATCAAAAGCACCAAGTCGATCATCAATTTCAACACCATCATCTACTATTATAGCTGATGGTCTCTTATTGACCTATGATGAAAATCATAATTGGATATGGCGTTATTATGTTCTGGATGATTTTGATTTAATCTGTTTTCCAGCTGATAGAAAAACTTCATCAACAAATCACACACAATCAGATAATGATTCTTCACCATTATGGGTATCTGATATGACAAATGCTAAAGTTCATACAACAACTATCGATAAAGTTGAATGTTTATGTCTACAAATTGGTCTTGCTGAAGCAATTTATGTTCGACCATCTGATCCAAGTCAAATGAATATATGGCTTAAAGTAATATTATTTTATCATCTTTTCTTCATATGTATATAAATGTTAATATAATTTCTTAAAAGGCATTTCGAGATGCAGCATCATCACAAAAATCAAAAGATAATTCGAAAAGTCGAAGTAATGTGAAAACACTTTCACGTAATGCTCGTCGTATGTTTGCGCAATTTAATCGTAAGAAAGGCCAAATTGTCTCACATTTACTTGATCAAATGGCTAATGTAACAGGTGTTGATGAAAAAACACGAAAACATTGTGAACTACGAGGTATATTCTTTCTAAATGATATACCCACCCCTTTTCGTGACCTTAGTCTTTGTTTCTTTTTGTGGTCATTCTATAGTCTGAATTAGTATCTGTCTACACATTCAAGAATTGTTTTTTAAATGTTAAAAAACTCGAAAAGAAATCAAATTAACGAAAACTATATATATTGTTTCGCGTTTTTCTCAAAGCAACTTTTTCATGAAAAAGACAACGTAGAAACGCTCTCATTTCTCCAGCCTAGGGAAGAACACTTTAATGCGTATAATAATATTCTTTGAATTGTTTTAAATTTTTGTTCGTTTTATTCAAAACCCCTTTAACTTATTTACTAAACAAATAGAAAAAAAAACCAATAAAATTCGTCTTGATTATAACATCTAAATCTAGTTACCATCGAGTTTGGGTACGGGCCCAGAAATTTTTGAATCCGATGAGCTCTACTACACACTATTTGGAATGAGAATTTTTTTTTTTTGTTTCAAAAAATATTTTTCTGCTGAATTTTTGGTAGCTCTATTCAAAAAACAAGCGGTGTTTTTAAAGTGTACCTTTGATATTTTGACGTTTTTATTTACCGGACAAAAAATAAAAAGAAACCTACCCCTACAATGACGAATGTCTGTAAAAAAAATTTCCAGCTCGATCGAACATAGCATCTCGGAGAAACAGGAAGACCATTGTGATTCCAGTATCTCATAGAAGACAACATTCGAGAGCTTTGAATCTATAGCAACTTTTGTTATATTTGTCAAGATCTACCTGCATTGAAAATTTCAAATTTCTCTAATGATCTGTTCTTCGGAAACTCTGAAAAAGACGAAAATGAATACCTTTAAAAAATCAAATAGATCAATCAATCAATTTATTTCTTTTTCTTTTTCTTTTCTTAAATCAGGTTTTCTCGTTATATCTCTGGATAATATAACATTTGTTACTAAATATTGTACAATAGTTGATGGAATATTTCGTATACATAAATCACGTTTAAGTGAACAAACTGAACATGAATTATATTTAAATCGTTGTAAATTATCTTTTCCTGAAGAACGTACACGTGATATACAATTTGCCTTAATTGATGAACAAGTTCAAACAATATTTATTCGTGGAAATAATATTTATAGTATGGGAAGATTATTGAATACATTAGCTAAATATGTTGAAATAGTGGGTAGTTCACAATATATTTTTACACCAGGTGGAAGTGAACGATCAACTCCATTAATTAAACATCGACAATCATCCACACCTAATTCGTCTCAACCACATATTTATTCTGATGTCGATGCTTCATCATCAGTTATTAACATGTCTCAATCAAATGGTATACTACAGAGAAAAAAAAAACAAAGAAAAGATAAATTTTATTTAAAATTTTGTTTTTTTTTTTCTTGCTTATAGAAATTTATTCTCCATCAAGTATAAAATCAATTCCTACTTCTCAAAATTCAATATCAAATATAAAAGCAACTGTTTATCATAATGCATCAAAATTACATGATAATGATTCAGATGATCGAGCATTTATTTTACCAACACGTCGATTAACAAATGATACAAATAATACATCTACACAACAAAATACAATATCTATCAATGAAACATATGATCGGCCAAAAGCATTTGATAATATTGCATTAATGTCAACATCAATCGATCGAAATAATAATCATGTTTTTGTACCACCACAACGAAATGATAAAACTAAAAATGAAGATAAAAATACGTAAGATTTGAAATTTTTGTTTTTTTGTCTAATATTAATTTATATAATTTAGTTATTCAAAATCACATTCATCACCAAATCATATTTCATATTCTCATCGTTCAAAATCAAAATCATCTCATTCAAATACTTCATATGAACCATCATCATCTCCTGAACATACAGTTTTTTGTTTACGTTCATCAGATTCTTCATCATCTCATCATCGAAATTCTCGTCGTCGTCCAAATCCATTACCACGTCGTACATTAACACAAACAACACCAACTGATTATGTTAATAAATTTACTAATCTATTTACAAAAAGTTTTTCTACACCATCAACATCAATATCAACATCAACATCAAATGAACATCATATGGGTACACAAACTTATGAAACAATTTCATCACAATCACCATCTCATTTTAATACAAATTATATTCGATCACCAATGCCTACTGCTAATATACATCCTACATATAAAGAACATGTATGATAATTTAGTAAAAAAGAAAAAAAAAACAATATTTTGAAATTAATTTGCTTTCTTTTAGTCAATGTCTAAATGTGTTTATGATATTCCAATAACAATTGAACGTTCAACAAAAGGTGTAGTTACACCATTTGAAGAATATGAAAAACCAAATATACGAAATTCTCGATCTATTCAACCAATGCCATCATATCAATTAAATAATTATCAAAATAAAAAACAAGAAGAAGACGAACAACAAGAAGAAGAAGAAGAAACACCTTATGCTCAAGGTTATGATAATTTAACAAAAAATGATGGAATTGGAAAATTTCGTTTTGTTGTTCCATTTAATCATAGTCCAACATCTGCTTTTATATCATCAAAATCAACAATAAAACCAATAAATTCTCCAGTAAGTTCATCATCATCAACAATGAGTTCATATTCAACAGTTCGTCAAGCATCATTATCATCAAATAAAAATTCAACTATAAACAATAATAATTCAAACATTCGATCGACATTAATGACAGCCGTTTAGAATTATATTTTTTTTTCTGGCTCATTTATCTTTCAAGTATCGAACTTATTTTATATTTGTAACAGTATCATCATTCACATATGTTCTTTTCAGTGTTTTTGTTTTTTTTATGCAATGCGTTTCTCTTTTCTTTTTGTTCTCGCTTCATATTTAGTGATAGAGCTTGTGTTTGCACTAGTTCATTTTCGTTTTTTTCTTTGCCTATCATCAACATTCTGTTATATGTTGATGTAATGTATATTTTACGAAAAAAGCAAACTCAGAATGATACAACAAAAAAAAAAAAAGAAACGAATTCTATCTCAGAATTTTGTTCTTTTTTTTGTCAGATAGATAAATGAAATTTGTGAAGAAGAAAAAAAAACAATAATTGGAACAGTTGAGGAAAAACTGCATGTCCGGTTATTGTGTGTGCTTATCTTTTTTTTTCTTTTGATTTAAGAAAAAAATCCAACTTCATATGTTTTTATTCAAATAAAAATCCAAGCAAACGTTTAAAACATTTCGTGATGTTTTCTTTTGTTTTTATATTTGTTTTAGATCATCTTTTCTTTTTGGTCATTAGTGTTAATTAATATGGTAGGTTTTTAGATTGATTTTTTTATGCTTTGGAAGAAAGTATACGATCTCATTTTGAACTAATAAAAAAATCAAAAACTCTTATTGTAAAATATGATCTAAAGAGGAGTGCTGAAGTATAGAGGTAAAAATTTGGACCTCTCTCCATAGTGTGCATTTTTCGTATGACAGGCGGTCAGATGACTTTCTTGCTCAGAAATGATTGGATATGACACAGAAATGCATTTTAAAAAAACCTTTTTAGAAAAGAAGATTTGTCGGCGAAAAATGCCTCAGGGAGACCCTTGTCCTCATTTATCGAAAAAATTTTTTTCTTCAAAATTGTTTTGTATTATATATTATTTGATGCAGTGTAATATGCTAATTTCGAATATACTTTTTTTGTTGAGTGAATATTTTTCCAAAGTCAGAAAAACTGAAAAACCTACTGTGCAGTTCAGGAATGTTTGCACTAACAGGGATTAGAGACACTAGATAGAAGAATATTCTGGCAAAATTTGGAAAAGTTTTGAGTTTAGATTGCTCATTTTATTGGATTAGCCGTTCGGATAACACTTTAGAAGAAAATATTATTGTTTTTTCTCAGAAGTTAAACGTACAAATTAAAAAATATTAAAAAAAAAAAACGTTACAATTTATTAATAGTTGAGAGTTTTTCTTTTCAACAGTATCATTTTTATTAAAAATTTCATTCGTTAATGATTTTTCGTAAATTGAATTTTCAAGTTAGGAAATAATGATTGTTTTTATTTTATTTTATTTAGATTCAATTTATTTTGTTATTCAGTCGACAAGGTAAACTTCGTCTTCAAAAATGGTATACATCACAAACAGAAAAATCAAAGAAAAAAATAACACGTGAATTAATTGCAACAGTTCTTTCACGTAAACCAAAAATGTCAAGTTTTCTAGAATGGAAAGATCTGAAAATAGTTTATAAACGGTAAATAAGACTATTTTATTTTCAAATAAATAACTGGTTGTTAACTTTGTTTTTGTTTTACACAGATATGCTAGTCTTTATTTTTGTTGTGCCATTGAACAAGAAGATAATGAATTATTAACACTTGAAACAATTCATCGTTATGTCGAATTACTTGATAAATATTTTGGTAGTGTAAGTAAATCTATTTTCATATCTTTTATATATAAAATCATAGAAATAAATAGGTCTGTGAACTTGATATTATATTCAATTTTGAAAAAGCTTATTTCATCTTTGATGAATTTATATTGGGTGGTGAAATTCAAGAAACAAGTAAAAAAAGTGTACTCAAAGCAATAAATGATCAAGATGTTATTCAAGAGGTAAGATATAGTTCTGTTTTTCTTTTTTTTAAGAAACTCGTTTTAAATCTTAAGTGAAAAGCTATTCACACACATCTACATATAAGATATAATAGCAAAAAGAAATAAGAAATAATTTCACATAAACATAATAAATTAAAACACACATTTGCTATATATCATTCACAGGATGATCAACTACAAGAAATACTTTATGAATACGGATTGCTTTGATTTTTTTTTTGTTTCTCATTGTCATATTACAATTCTCATTTCTTTGTTCTTCATATAAATTATTTGAGGGTGCTTGTTTTGCGTTTTAATTCTTCTTCTTCTTTATATGATGATTGATAAGAACAATAAAATCATATGTATATTTCTATGCTTTACAGTTCCTCTCTGTCTATCTATTTCTAGGAAGAAACGCCACAGGGCTTCTTCGAAGATCATGGTCTTGGATAATGAACTCTGCTATTATAATGATATATATATATATATATATATATATATACTGTATAGCACAGACACACACTTTTGCATGTGTTTTTATTTTTATTTTTTCTGTTGCTTCATTAGCATCATAGATATATTATTAATTGATTCCTTTGCGTTTATTTTATTTAGTCAGATTAAGTATTTACAAAACAACAATCGCTTTTGTTCTTCTTCTATTTGTTGTCTCCATCAACAGTTGCATTTCATTTTCTGTTTGTTAATTTGATTTCGTTGTTTTTTTTGTATTTCACACATATACACTTACAAATGAAATAAAAGAACACATTATGCATGAAAAGGACATTATTTTATGCTTTTGATGTACGTAGATGTATTTGTGTGTGAATAAGCTTTATTGACTTTGAATCAATGAATAGCTTAATAATTTTAATTGATTTTCTTTAACTTTTTTGTTTTTCTTAATATTTTAGGAAGAACTTGAAGAAAAACGCAGTGTTCTTGAAGATCTTGGTTTGGCTTAAAGAATGAACAAAATCTTTTTTTTTCCTCTTTTTTGTTTTAATCTTGACGTAAATGTGCTTAATTTCTTGATCTCATATCCTTTTGTTGTACGTTCATATTGTGCATGTTTAATTATTCCATTATCTTAAAATAGATAATTGAAATTTATAAAATCTGACTGATTGTATTTTCAAATAAATTTTGATGATTTACTTGATTATTTGTTTTTAGTTAAATAAAATGATTCGAAATTTATCAATTAATCGAATTTATCATTCATTAAGAATATTAGGTATTGAAACGAGTTGTGATGATACAGCAGCAGCTGTTGTTGATAGTCAACGAACTATTCTAAGTCAAGCATGTCGAAATCAATTGAAATATCATCAACCATGGGGTGGTATTGTACCAAGTATTGCAAAAAATCATCATTATGAAAATTTAGTACCAGTTGTAGCTGAAGTTATGAAAGATATTGAATGGAATGTGAGTCAGATAATATCTAAAATCAATTTCAAAACAAAAACAAACATATTTTTAAACTCATCATTATAAAAAAAAAACACGTTTATTTAGTTTTGAAATTGATCACATATTGACATGTTTAAATGGATTTCATTGAATTTTTATTTAGTCTAGACAATAGATGCTATTGCTACAAGTGTTAAACCCGGTCTTGTTATTTCACTTTGGCAAGGAATAAATTTTACTCGTCAACTTCTTCAAAAATATACACATCTATCATTTATTCCCATTCATCATATGGAAGCACATGCACTTACTGTTCGTTTGACACATGAGTATGATGCTTCTTTTTTTGTTTTCAAATGAATAGATACATACATTTTTCATTTGTAGTGTTCCATTTCCATATATGGTTTTATTGGCTAGTGGAGGTCATTGTATTTTAGGTATTGTAGAAGATGTTGACAAGTTTTATCGACTTGGTGAAACGAAAGATATTGCACCTGGTGAAGCATTTGATAAAGTTAGTAAAAGACTTTTTCTTTTTATCGTAGTTAAATGTCGAAAATATTTTATATATTAAATATAGAGTGCACGTGAAATGAAATTACATGAACATCCACTTGTTCAAGATATGGCAGGAGGAGCAGCGATGGGATATTTAGCACGTGAAGGCGATGAAAAACGATATCAATTAATAACATCAAGTTATTCAGCTAAAATGAAAGATTGTTCATTTAGTTTTGGTGGTATGTTATCACAAATTCGACGAGTCATTGGAAAAGAAAGTATTTATTATGGTATGTATTTTCATCTCTTATTACGACGCTAATAATATTTGTGATATCATATATTCAGGATCGTCAAGTACAGACGAACAAAAATTAAAAGATTTTGCTGCATGTATTCAAGCAAGTATTGTCCGACATATAGAAACCCGTGTACATCGAGCAATATTATTCTGTGATACTATCCAAAAATCACAATGGAAACAAAGATTAGTATGTCAAAAGATAAAAATTTTATTTTTTTATTTTATTGTACTACATCTATTTTAGGTTCTTGCTGGTGGTGTTGCAAGTAATTTATATCTTCGACAACGTATAAATGATCTATGTAGTCATTATGGAATCGAACTTGTTTGTCCACCAGTAGAATTTTGTACTGATAATGGTGTAATGATTGCTTGGTAAGAAATTAATATGTATATATTGTTCTTATACGTCAGATTTATTTATTATTTTTAAAGGAATGGTATCGAACGGTATCGACGAAATTTGAATGTATTTGAAAGAATGCCTGAGATTGTCGTTCCTGAAGGTCGATCACCATTAGGTTCAGATATTAGTGAACAAGTATGTGCATATGATCTTAGTGTACCGTTCGATTGGAAAACTATTCTTGGAAAGAAACATGTTTTGTTATGATTAAAAATCAATAAATAAAATGAAACGCGAAACTTGAAATTATCTTGATATTTAATCAATTCGATGAATCAATCAATTACAATTACATTATGACATACGGAAAGCGGCTAAATTAAAACAAATTTTATTTTTATTCAGTTTAGTGTATTTTCTTAAAAACCTCGGACGTTACTAATTTGATGTAGCTTAATAGGTCACTAAGAATTCTATTTGTTTTTAGTATGAATATCGGCTTAGCATTAGTATTAGAAAAATTCTAATACTTTTGCATTAGGTTAAAAATTTAACTTAATATTCTTGTGTTAGAATTAAAAAATTAATTTAATACTTTGGCATTGGTATTATAAAAGTATTAGTCTAATACTAATGCCTATAGTTCCTGAAAACAGAACAAAATTGCTCCGCTATGAGAAGCTGTTCACAATAAAAGAACAAGAGTGTTCTTTTTTAGGAAAAAAATTACCATAACGAAGCAATTTTGTTCCGTTTTCGGGAACTATAGGCATTAGTATTACACTAATACTTTTGTAATACTAATGCCAAAGTATTAAATTAATTTTTTAATTCTAATACAGAAATATTAAAATTTGCATTAAATAATCCAATGCTAATGCTAAGCCGACATCCCTAGTTTTTAAACTTCTATCGTGTCCAAAAATTTGATAAAGTTCGAAAGTCAATGGAATGAAACGTTTTCAACTCCATATTCTACACGACACAAAATTGTTTTAGATAATAGAGATCTATTTAACTTGAATATCAGCAAGATATCAAAGAGAGGTCATTTGAATCTGAGAAGATAAATGAGTTTTACTATTAAAAATTTATTCGATACGATACTAAAGAAAAAACTTAGGTTTTGGTGCTTTTCGCGAAAATTTCTCAAGAATATTTGATGGCAGTCAGACTAAAATTACATAAATCAATAGAGGAATCCATGCCTCAGAAAAAAAAACATATATTAATGAAACAATGTCTAATATTTAAACAATTAGTATTTTCTCAAGAAAAAAAAAGGAAGAATATTCTACGAAAAAAAATGTTTCTATAAAAACTTAGAAAATCACCAGGTTTATCAGTAAAAATAAAGAATGTACGCCACTAAAAATATATGGTTCGATAGAGAAACAGTTTTTCTATTTAGTTATAGAAAAATAAGAAAGTTTCAATACTCAAGTAAATTATTGTTACCAAAGCAAACAAATGAAAAACCAAATCCTAACATTACTGAAAGTAAAAACCTCTGTCCAGTGAATTTTGAAATCGATCGAAATTTTGAAAAAAATTGAAGTTAAAGAAAATAAAACCCGTATGATCGAATAGAATAATTAATGTTCAATCCAACTATATCAAAATAGGAAAGCTCTGAGGTTTTTACAGAAATGCACCAATCTAAGTAAAACGATCTAACATAACGTAGTTAACCTATGATTCTATTAAGTGTTTGCTGACTACAAATTTTTCTGCTGGTATTGCCAGTAATCATACAATCATTGTGGTCGTGGTTAATAGATTAATTCCTTGCAATCGAATTTTATTATCGTTATCTCAATAGCAATTATTAATTCCTAAATCAAGACGATATTTTCGAAATTAATAAACGATCAGTCAAAAAGAAATTGGGCCCTAATTGAAGTGCTGCTCTGCATACATCTATATTCTATCATCGTCTAAACATTGTTAAGCTGCTACTTGACAAGGAATATTATCGAACAATACTAAATCCATATAGTAAAACCGCTTATCGAGAAGCATAGATGCATGGAATATACGTATGCCGTTTGATCGATCTATTTTTCAAAGATTTGTCAATGAAAATGTTATTGAATCATTGAAATAACTTTCAACTAGCAGAAATAATGTCATTAAAAAACAGAAGACAATATTTCGAGCGCTTAATTAAAATGTCATTTGAGTTTTGATGAAGTATTTCACGTCTCGATTATCGCTACTATTACTCAGCTAACATTTTGCCGAAAAAAATCCTTCAAAATTAAATTGAAATCACAAACAAATCAAATAAATTCTTACAAAGACAAGCAGATTCTTTCACGGATTTCCTTTATTTAGATCTGTCTGAACTAAAAAAAACATGTGCTTATCAAGTTTATACTTGTCGTCACTGTAAAATAACAGATGAAGATATTCAAACACATTGATGAGCATTCAATCATGATAAACATATGTTTGAAATCCGTACTACTCAAACCAGGCCAAAAAATAAACTTGAATCGTTACCACAATACTTTGCATTTTACATTTCAAAGGATAAACGTTCTTCAATATTATTAACCTTTTAATTTTCTAAACATTGTACAGCCACAGTTGATCTAACATATAAATCGACTTATTTTCGTCTAGTTCTCAAATACACGAACGAAGAAAACATGACATTACTGTCGTTTACATTGTTCGAAGTTCATAAGGTCAAAGTTAACTGAATCAGTACTTAGTACGGAGTAACGTTGAAAAACATTCATGTAAGCAAAAATTTTCGTTAATCTTTTTTTTCAAGTAAATGAAAAATCGAATAGACAAAAGTTTTTCAATAGTCAATTCTCTTCTAAGAAATATATCAGAATAGATTGAAATAAGAAAAACCATATAGTACATATTATTATAGGATCGTAGAGATTTTTATGCTCACTAAAAGCAAATTCTTGAAATTTTACAAAGAGATGTGTTAGTTTTAACTAGATGTATTCGAGTTCGCTATGCAACGATATTCATTAATATGTAATAATATAAAATTATATTTGATACTTTGAAAGATTGTTTTATTCATTGATATTAATTTTATCATGAACTATAAAATATATATTGGTTTGACAATTTACGTATTTTCTAGATTTATATTAATATATGAAAACAATACTCGCATAATTCATACTCTTTTTGATTGATTTGATATGTGTATCGTTAATAGACGAGTATAAATATACTTCTGTTTCGTGTACCGCATAGGTTATCAAAAAAAAGTAATTCGGTGCAAGAATTTTGCCATATTATTGGAAAGTTATTAATAGTTATGGCAATCAGTCAAGAAAATAAATTTCGATGTTTATTCTTTGTTTAAAAACTGCGCATAGAATTCATCTTTATGATCATATTACAATACTATCGATATATTTAGTATCTTGAATCAATGTATATGAAGTATTTTGCATACTCAATGACTTTATGGATTTGAGTTCAAATTTTCAATAGAACTTGAAGGATGTTTTTTTTTGATTGTAAAGAAATAATTGCTGTTAAAAAAACCTTTCACGCATATCATACATCATATTTTTATTAACTAGACATTGTATGAAGAATCTTTATTGCAATTAAATTCAGATCGAGTTATAGCTAAAATTAACAAGATGAGTTTAATTTGTTCGCTTTTATTTTTTTTTGTTCATAATTTGTCCGTTAGATTTTTTATTTACAATAGGTATGAACACTAAAACACGATTACAACTACATTAGAAAAAGAAAATATCTAAAGCCGTATTCAAAATAAAATAAAATAAAATAACAAAAAAAAACAAACTATACTACAACTGAAAAATATTTCAGATGTAACTCTACTTACTAAGAAAAATGTCCTATAAGAATTTTCTTATTTCTATTAAGTTCATATTAATTTTTAGTATAAATAATAAATAATTAATTTAGTTATTTTTTTTTCGAAATACTTTTCTCAATCCTTTTGGCATTACTAATTCATGATTGGTATTATTTTCTTGTAATTGTATGTCTTGTATTGCACATATAAATAATGTATCAACAGCCATTGAATAAACTGAAAAGAAACATGTTGCAATAATATATGTACCAATAATAATTAATAATAATGGTACAAAATAATATCGTAATTCTGGTACATATTTTTCTGCTTGTGCAATTCGATGTGTAAAAAAGAAAAAAGCAAGAATACCAATACCAACTGTAATACATAATTTACCAAGAAATATTAAAAAATCACATACTTTATCAATAACAAGTAAACGAAGAGGATTTGATACAATTAAATGAAAAGCACGTCGTGCCGATGTAAAAAATCCTGTTCCATAAATAGCTGTTATAATATAAGCATTACGATTAAGAAATTTTAAAAATTTTTCCAAACAAAATAAACAACAACGACAACAACAGAATAGACAACGAGCAATAGTGCCAGTTTTATCTTTAACTTTTTCTTCTATATATTCAAGTATACTACGAATAAGTTTAACTATTGCTATTATTAATGAACCAAATGCTATTGTACCAAGATGAAATACAAGTGCACGAAAAAGTGATGCACATAAAGATGAACATGGAACACCAAAACGTTCACGATCCCAATAATAACGTGCATAAATACCAGCTAAGATTAATTAAGATTTTATTTGAGACAAAAAAAAAGATATCTTTAAAAAATTACTTACCAAGAACTAATTGACTAAATCCAATAACAAAAGCTGTTAACCAAAATAACATAAAAGCTGAAAACATTTGTGGAATCCATTGATGCTGATTAACAAAACTAATAAATGATTTAAAATGATTACCAGTACCTAACAAACAAAAGAAAAGACAAAAAAAAAAACATTCTAAGAATTTTCAATTAATCATTATACCATTAAGAATACTATCTAAATCTACTTGTGGATCATAACCATATTGCCAAAAAACACATGTATAATTCGATTCATTAGTATTATTCCATTTATTTGGATCACATATTTCACCTAATAATAAATTTGTTGTATTTGCTGTTATGTTATTATATGTTATACGATAAATAGGTTTTCCTGATGTTGCTAAATAAATGGCAACAATAGCCCAATAAAAAAAGACTCCAATTTGTAATAAAAATGGAATAAATGGCCAAAAAAGACTAAAAAAATTATAACCAACAGCTTTTGATGCTTCTTTAAGAATAGCTAAAGCAATTCGTAAACGTTTAAGTATTGCTAAAAGAATCAATATTGATATGATAAGAAGAAGACCCGATATAATACCAATAATTAACCATGTTATTGGTAAATTTCGATAATAATTAGCATCAGTAACAAATTTAAATTCAGTAATTATTTGATTATCATTCTTTTGACGAAGTTGAGTAAATTCATAAAATGATAAACCAGTTACAATACCTAATAAAAAAATGAATAATAGTATTCCAAGCCAAACAATTGGTTTAGCAAGCCAACGCATTAATACAATCCATACAAACTAAAATATTTATTATGAATTAAGAAAGAAAATTAAAATATGATCATTCATACAGATACAATTGCAGCAAAAGTTAAAGCAATTAAAATATATTTCCATGATATTATAAAATCTTCAATAAGAAATACTCCAATTTGTTTTAAATTCAATAAATCAACCAAATATTTTACACCCTAAAACTACTAATAGTCAACAAAATTTTCTTTAGAAAACAAAACAAAAAGTTACCTGTGCAAGATTTGTACCATTTAATGGTTGTCTATTTGAATCATACACAGTCTGATTTACACCATTAGTATCGGTCGCCTACAAAGAAAACAAAAATATTTTTTTCTATTATAATTCTTTTCATATTAGATTTTAAAAATTTAACAAACTTGAATTATACTATTTGTTAAACTTTGTATTTGTTCGGGAATACATCGACCAAAAAGTGGTTTACTAGCTATGATATATACTGCACATTTTCCATCATTGACTAATTTTTCATTGTCATTGTCTGTTGTATCCACATCATATGTACATATTCGATTTGTATAATAATTTTGAAATTTATAATAAGATGTTTTATTTGGACATTGTTGAACACAAACTTGTGTTGTTGGACAAATAAATGGACGACCTTTTAATATATTAGTTGGAATATTAAATGCTTTGATACATTGTGTCCAATCAAAAAAATATAAATATGGTCGATCAAGAAAAATGCCTGTACCACAAAGATTTCCTTGACTATCAGTTGGATGAATAAGTTGTTTGGGATCACCTATTCATTTTAAATAAATAAATAATACATAAATAGTAAATGAATTTACATGCCTTCTTTAAATGCAAAAATGCTTAAAATAATAAATACAATGATAAATATAAGAAAGATTAAACAACATGGAATATCTAGAATAATATTCTAATATTTTCGATTAATTGAAAACTATTTCACTAACCTGTACAAAATCGTTTTCGATGAAGACCTTGTTGAGGTGGTTCATAACGTGCACCACTATCTGGTAATACATATGCCTTCATATTTGAAGATTTTTCTACGTCTAAAAATTCGAGAATCTTTTATAATCAAATAAAATATATATAAAGACAATGCATTTCAGCATCCTATTTATATACATAAGTAGTCATTTGTTTGAACTCATTTTATTTATTGATAACAATAATTCTCTGTTATTGTCAAGCTTTTGTATACATATCATGCTAGGAGAAACGAAAGAAGAAAAAAAAAGAAACGAATGATTTTACTCTCTTGATCAAAACTATTTAGTAAAAAATTACAAAACATTCTTAAGAAGAAAAAAGACGAGGAAAGTTAAAACGTAGAAAATATTATAAATTCTTTTACTTAATTGCAATACAATTATGACTACAGATTATTTTTTTCTCATCCTACCAAAGAGCGGAAATGTTATGAGACCTTAACATTCAAACATTCAAAGTTGACTAGTCATATACACACAGAACAAGTAAAAACAAACTAAAAAGAAAAGTAGATGAATGAAATAAGAACAGAAAAAAAAGTTTTATATGATAAGATGAAAAAGATTCACTCAAAGCGCCAATCTTCTATAACGAGAATAAGAAAAGAGAAAAATCATTTATTGTCTTATTTACTTATGTTTATTCTACCATTCAAGTATAATATTTTCTGAACTTTCATTGATAACATATACGTCAATATATGACAATATTGACTCAATTTCCATATATTAATCTATTCCTTCTCCTAGTACGCGATAATTCCTAGCAATTATGATTTATAGAGAAAATTCTAATGAGTATTGTTCAAATAGTATGTGTAATATTGTGATTGAAGAAAGAGATATACAATTGTCGTACGGGATTATAATCGTTAACGATAAGTAGTAGTACACGACCAATAATCTCGATATTAGTCACGATCATGAGAAAGAATAATAGCTGTTTCCTTTCTCTTTTTTTTTTCAACTGTGTAGTCTGTAAAACAGCAGGAGTGAGAATATATGGATACGATGTGATGTGAGACGCGTGCGTCAGTCTATCGAATATTTATTATTCTTCACGTATCTCTACGTACTATTTATCATACATACCATGAGAAATACCTACCTCAAGAGAGACATAAACATGCAAAGAAAAGACAGTTACGACAACAAAAGAGAATGCAAAAGGAAAAAAAAAAGCAAAAAATTAGAATTTGTTCAAGGATATGATACATATCTTACAATAAAGTTGACCTTTATGAATCAATATTTGACGAAAAGGTATATAAAGACATTCAATTATATGGTTGATAATTAAAGAAAACATAAAAATCAATGTTATTTTTATACTAAATATCAAGGTGTCGTACAAGATCAGTGTATATTGTAATGCAATCCGATCTATTGGTTCTTTTATTAATCCAATCAAATAACCGAAAAAAGTCCTTACGCTTTGTTCTGTTTTTTCTTTTTATTAAATTTTTCTTCAAAAAGCTTTTTAAAAACTCATTATATGAGTTTCATATGGCTGAAGAATTCTACCATGATGAAAATTTCTTCGTCTCAAATGTTTTTTTTAATGGATTTAACATTTTCGTATACGAGTCTTTCAAAATTCAATACGTCATTGAAGTAAAAAGTTTTTGATGATTCAAATAGTTTATATGTTCAATCAAAAATCAGAACTACATTCAAATTGTTTTAATATCTCTTGATTTTTGGCATGCATTCTACAATCATATCATGCACAATTTAACAAAACAATGTTGATAATTATAAACGAACATAATATATTATAATGTGAGAATGTACATTATTTGAATGAATATTGACTAAAATCTCCTTATTTTATTTTAATAGAAAAAGAAAATGTTTGGAATGATTCTTATTTAATTATTTTATATCAAGTTCATAAAACGTAAGAAAATAAAATTGTTTTTTAATGAAATAGAAATGTATTATTGGTTTTTATTGTGATAAGATAATATGTTTACATATAATAAAATTTTATGAAGATGTACAATGTAAAGTGAGATGTAACTTACAATAAATAACAAGTGTCACTTTTAAAACATGAAAAGATATTGATGTTAACACACCAGTGCCTTTTGTATTCAGTATGAAAACGAAAGACAAAATAGTACGAAATGTGTACATTTTTCTGAGATATTTGTCTTTAAATTTCTTTGAGAAAAAAATTTATTCTAAATAGAAGCTTAAAGTAGATAGAGTAGAAAAAATTGAGCTTTTGCTACGCATAAAATCAGAACAATAATCTTTGGATTGTATTTTAAAATAATTAAATAAAATTCTATGTCTTTGTCAAATCTAAGAATACATAAAGATGAAACTATTGAAATAAAACGACTGTATATGAGTCATCACAGACTATTTCTGAATTGACATCTAGAAGGTTCGTAGATCATAGACAGAATTGTTTTCCGCAATACTTCGCATATGTTTCTTAGAATTTATGTTTTCTAATTGGATTTTTTTTATCAATAAGTTTATAGTTGGGATAAACTACACATACTTTTACGTAGATACAGTTTTTCGCCATTGCATTGAAACGACACAATCTCTAAATTAGAGAGAAGGCATTACATAGCAATGATTACATGGATACATTGGTATATATTCTCGTTCGAAGAAAGAATAAAAATGTAGAAATTGTTTGATCATTCTGATTTCAGTATAGTCTCCTGCGATCAGGTCGGATACCTGGCATCCAACTCCGGTAATATATGAGGTCTTGACATTTCAAAATACTTTTACTTTTTCAAAAACTGATATATATATATATGAAACAGCATAGGAATGAAAACCGGTTCGATTATGATTGAGCAATTTATTCTACTTGAGAAGAGGTCATAGAAGTAGAAAGTGATATTGTTTTATTAAGAGAATACATTTTTAATGAAAATTTATCTACAAATGATGAGAAACCATATGACGAAGTAATTGAATACATGGAGAGGAAGATAAGTTATCAGAAATGTGAACATGTATTATTGAGATGGACACAAAATTAATCAGATTTAAGAAGACAAAAGACACCATATGAATCTTGAATCACTTGCTTTTTTTACGGAGTATGAGATGATTTCTTCTTTTTATGGCTGTTTATGAAACAAACTAAACAGTATACTTTTTTCATATAAGGTAAAGGTTTGAAAATTGTACTATGACTGCGAAAGTATCTGCCGAATATCGATTAGTTTCGGTTGGGCACCTCATACAGTCGTTCGAATTCGAGTGTAAGATGACGAGGTTTGCGTACAAAAAATCGTATCTGTGCAGGACACTATTTCAGTATGATACGATTGAAATCATATCATGAATAATTAGATATCAAAGATGAAATAAATATATATGACACTGTGCAAAGTCTTTTGTCAAAATTTATCGCGAATTGAATAGAACTAGACTTATTCATATTCAAGAAAAAAAAAATAATAAACGATATCATTTCTTTGTCGTTACGAAAATTAAAAACCTGAATAAGCGCTATATTGTGATTTAAAACAGTTTTTCTAATAAAGACACATATTTGAAATCTATGGGGTAGAGTTTCTTTAATTTTATGTAAATTATTCATAATTATTTTTCCAAATAAATAATACTTTACTATGTTGACACAATTTTTAGAATTGTAGTTATATTTGAAGATATAATCAATTTTTTGATAATATTTGAGCGGAAAAGAAAATTCAAAAAAGATGTCTACCTGAAATTTATTGCAATGATTATCGTTGAAACATTCAATTTCGATTAGCTTTTATCTATTATGAAATTTGAGTGACTTATTCACGTGATCAGTATACAAATTCGTAATCTATGAATACTTTCTTGTATTTACCGAGAATGAAGCAGTTTTTTTTTTCCAATTAAATATTTTACTGAAGATCACTGTTTCAGATCTTAAATGGCGATCGTCCTTTGTAAAATTTAAAAAACTTGGTTGAAGTGGAAAAGCAAAGAAACTTTCTATTTCTCAACTCTTCATATAGATGTCAGAGGTTCTCGCTGAATTACTTTTTTGCACTTTACTTTGACCTTCTCTAGAGATCAGAGCGCCCTGCAGAGTCTGTATATTATCTTTATTCAATAGCTTGCAGTGTTTGCTGCATTTATTTACTTTTCTATCGTTATCGTACACAATACAGTGCATTTTTATGAAAAATAAATTCTAAATATCATCGCTACCAGGGCTTCGCGTGGGATGAAATGGGACTATTCTCAAATATTTCATTCCAAACATCCCATTGAACTTCACATTCGCCAAATATCTTTTAAAAAAATTTCCGAACACATCTATCGTTTCCATTAATACAACCAAATTTTACGTCACCTCATTCTCTATTTCATAATTTTATCACAACCAAGTTCACATTTCTTTTATTTATGTTCATAATGAAATAATACATATCGCTCTCTCGATGGATGTAAACTGTTTCTAATTTCATTTGAGTTCCATCACTACGTACTGATGAAGATCTTTTTCTTGTGCTAGGATATAGCTTTCAAATACAACTATGAGCATTGGGTACTCGTGTACCAGAACTCAATGTAAATGGATACGATTGAAAACGTGATTGACAACTGGCAAAGCCTGGAAGCGGTTCAAATTTTTCTTTTATATGAGATTTCTTGGCTGAAAAACCTAAAAAACTTGCCAACACACTAAAGATTAGTTCTTTTTTAGGTAATCTTCAAAGAATCTGGAGTGATCTCTTCGAGATTCTCAGTGATCCTACAGGGGACTCTGCGTCATTCCTGAAAATTTTCCGCGCAGCTCCATTCAGAGCTGTTGAGTGTGGTTGGATGTGAGATAGAATGATTCTTTTGGTCAGTATCACGACTCTGTCCAAAAAACGAGCTGCTCGCATCACTAACCTTTTATTTTAGCATCGCGGCCAATACTTACCTCTGTGTACATAGCGAGCGGAACTACATAATTGACATATTAAAATATTTTTTGGATAAATCTCATCTTTTCCTTGTTTCTATCGTTACTTATCAAACTTACAAAATATAAATTACTTTGAAACTCCAATGAAGCATCTTCTACACCGAAGATCATCTCCAGATCTCTTGGAGATCCTATCAAGACCTTATTGGATTCCTCTGGAGACCATCTCAGGATCTCCGGAGTTACTCTCAGAAATTTCTGGGTGCCCTCTTCAAGTCATGAGCTGAAGTCTTTAAGTGAGTTATAATTGTGATAAAAGTTTTGACTTTGGCTTTTTGGACATAGTGGTGCTGTGGAACTTTTTGGAAAACTTGACTTATTTTCGAACTCGAATTAGGCATCTACCAAGGACATCGATTATTGTTTTTCTCTTGGGAGAAAATTCTACAATTTTCCAAAAAAATCCTCAATGTAATTTTATACTGAGGAAATTTTTTCGTTAAAACTTTGCAGTTTGGGGAAATTTTTAATTTTAACGACAGATTCTGCATCTCTACAGCAGACTATAGATCAATAGGAATGTAACCACTCATATTTTATTCGATATATGAATTTTTGGCAATCATAGAAGTAATGGAGAGAGAGAACATCCTAACAATGAGAATTTTGAATTTTTGAAAAATTATCTTTCATTTTTATTTTCTTACTATTAGTATTTTCCAAAATTTTCTTGAATCTTTTCTGGTTATTATGAATAATTTACAAAGTTTGTCTCTTTTCTGTTAGCAATTTCAAGAACTTATGAGAAATATCTTTATTCTTAAGTCCAAAAAAAAGTACGACTTCATTCGTGTAATTATTTATGTTTTTTTTTTGTCTTCAAAATAATCTTTTATTAATAATAGTTTTATCAATGTCAAGTAAATTTTTTGAAATGACGATAACAGTATAACAAGGAAGAATATGCTTATTGTTACTTTTGTTCTCTTTTTTGAGTAAGAAAAATTAGAAATATGCAGTTCGAATAAGAACATAAATATTGATATTCTACAAGAAGAAAGTTTAATATTCATGGAATTGTATTTCATTTTGCTATTCGAATCATGACAAAAAAGAATCGTTCGTGTAGTGTAAACAAATAGAATTTATTAATCGACAATTTAAAAATTGAATAATGATTTTCATAGTTCTCTTCTATGGCATTTTAGCATGTAATAATCATTATGACAAATAACATCAATTTAAACAATGCAGTTAATAAAGTAGTCGCCTCTGATGATGGTTAGGGATGGGTTATCGTATTTTCATCGTTCATGATTCATTTTATAATGGATAGATAAATTATTAGTTATTCGAAAAAATTCTCTGTATGTCAATGTTTGAAAAATAATCTAGAATTACATATTCGATGGGTGATATTTATTTACGTTCAATGATGGAAGTACTTCAAAGTGATCGATTTACAGTTTTACTAATTTTTGGTATGTTGCCTGCTATTATTCTCGGTTCAGGTTAAGTATTTCTTTTGATTAGAAAATTTTTTTTTTTTTGAATATTTTTTTTTCTTTTTTTGTGTAGGATCAATTGCAACAATACTTGTGAATAGGCATGGATATCGAAGGATAACAATAATTGATGCATGTCTAGCTGCTCTTGGACTTTTTGGAAGTTCTTTCTATGCAAATATCTGATTTTATTACATTGCTATTGGTATTGTTGGAGGTATGTTTAAGTTTGTTTTCATTCATTGTTTGAAATATATATATACAACTAGGTATTGATTTTGGACTGATTTATTTACCAGCCATTGTTTCAGTGAGTTTCTATTTCGAAAACAAACGTTCCCTTGCATTGGATATTGATGTTTGTGATTCAGGTTTAGGTACAATAATATTTCCTTGAATTTTGCCATACATCATTAATTCACCCATATGGTTTGATTACGATGGTACTTTCCTAAATGAATCAGCTACCATCTTCATATGTGTCATCTGTAGAATGTTAATGGTAATTTTATTAGATTTTCTCAGTGACTATGAGTATAAGAGATTTTCTTTTATATGTTTAGATTCCTTTACCAAGAGAACCTAGTGAAATATGACGTCTAGAAAAAAAAGCATGAATTGCAGCTAAACAACAAGCACAAAAAATAGTAACAAATGCTGATAATATGATTGACATCAACGAACAAAAAAGCCAGTTGCTACCAAATCAAGAACGGTTTGTAACATAAATTATATTGTATTGTAAATTGAGTATCTCAAATACAATGTAACTATTCATCAATCGAGTCGAGTTTCGTTGCATTAATAATTAGCTATTTTCTGTTAAGACATTGTTCACTATTGGAAAATATATTTAGATCATTTCTATTGTTTTCACAGGACACCATTCCAAAATATAAAAGAAACAACTTTACTTATACCCAGTCAATAACAACAAAAACTATTCAATGACGATGAACGTCACATATTACTTCCAGATGTCAAGCGAAATATATTAGTAAATGAATCTGATGAAAATAATGATCATGATAAAATACTTTCTGAATCTCTTGAACATGAACCTCCAAAAATAGATACTGAACTTCAGTCTTATTCGTACGTAAGAATGCTGTTTATCAAGGTGATCTTTGTCATATATCTTTATTTAATGAAAATATTGATGAATATCATCGATAAATAATTATGACAACTGATATGGAAACAGTTCAATCAAATACATCAATTGATGAAAAAACAACGATGACTTTGAAGATATTATTTATTCATGAACTTAGCAATGAAATTGATCTTACATTATTTAAAAATAATGCATATATTCTATTTGTTATATCAAATTTTTTGACTAGTCTTGGTTTTAATATGCCCGATAATTTTGCTAATAATATAGCTATTGATGAAAATATTATTGAACATCGTCGACATTGGATTATTATGTCAATTGGTATTAATAATTGTATTGGTCATGTTATAATTGAATTTCTTGGTAATTTGAAATGAGTACAAAATCTTTTCTTTTTCTAATCAAAAAATAATTTTTATTATTTATTTTTTATATTAGGTTAACCGTTTATATCTATATAATATAGTACTGATCATTACTGATCTAGCTACAATAATAGCACCACTATGTGGTTCAATTGTTTATTGACATATGACTTATGGAATCTTTTTTTGAATTTTTCTCTGGTGGTTATGTTGATTTAACATCAGTTATTGCTAGTGATTTAGTTGGTGTAAACAGAATGTCCAAAGCTCTCCGTGTAGTTTATTTATTTCAAGGTGTTGCCATTGCTATTAATACACCCATTGTTGGTAAGAAGAAAAAAAAACCTTCTTTTTCTTTCTTCTGATTATACTTTCTTACATCTGTAAGCAATAATGCGTGACAGACTTAAGGATTTTTCTCAACCATATCGTTGGCCTTATTTCATATTTGGTAGCTCAATTATTTTAAGCGGTGTTATTTTACTTGCTATTCTAATATTAAAATGACGATAAGAACACCATCAAGGACTAAAAAAACATCAAACGAGATATGGGTGTTATATCATATTTAAAACCAAGTTCATCAGCTGACGAACAATTACAACAACTGTAAATTATTAATTTCGATTTATCAGTCTATATAATTTAGAAATTAATATATAATTTTTTCAATATTTTTTTATTATACGATAAATCTTAACGTTATATAACAAATAACATATAAATACGGAAAATTCTTAAAATATTGTTTTTATTTTTAATAAAGCTCTATTTTGAATATCATTTTTCATCGTTTATTGTCTTGTCTTTGTTTTTATTTTTAATAAAGCTCTATTTTGAATATCATATTTCATTTTTTGTTGTCTTGTCTTTGTTTTTATTTAAAAAACCTCCATGAAATGTTATCGGTTTTCTTTTTCACCCCTTTTGGCACGAAAATTTTTTTCTCTTTATTTATTAAGGTTAAAAAAAGATAAGAAATGTCCCATTATAGCACTGACATGAATTTTTAAATAATTTTGTTTATTTACTTTTTAATTTTACGTTTATATAAAAAAATAGGAACGTGACAAAAAACCAGAAGAAGATAATAAATTGACATGACTTTCATGAAAATCACCTCTTCAAACTAAAACTTCGTATGATTCATTCTCTTTATTCCTCATTGTATAGAGAAAAAAAAGTATCCTACTGCGATGTTTGTTGACTCACAATGACAATGATTTCATAGAACGCGAAAAACATACATAGAATGACTACATACATGTTTCGTTATGTTTTTGGAGGCTTTTTCTTTCGCTTTTTCTTTTTTACACTTGCTCCCCTTTCTCATTTGATTATTCACGTTGGTAGGGTAGTATATATTCTTGTCACACGATATCCACATATTTTAGATATAGTTAAACAGTGATGCTTGTATTCAACAATCGAATTTGAAATATATTTTAGATGCCACCACCACCTCCACCGCCACCACCACCTCCGCCACCACCACCGCCACCACCTTCGTCGGCACCACCGGCAACAGGTGATGGAGATCGAACAGGTCTTCTAAATGCAATTGGTGGTTTCAACAAGGGTGGTCTGAAAAAAGCCGTGACTAATGATCGAAGTGCTCCGCTGGTTGGAAATTCCACCAATAAGACCAATCCTTCTACTTCTGTGCCAAGTTCAACTGCAAATCGATCGAATGCAAATGAAAGACCTAATACTGCCCCTGTAGCCAGTCCATTTGGTATTACACCAGATCAGCTTAGTAGAGCTCTGAAACCGACTGGTGGTAGTAGTGGATCGACAGTCAAAGCTCTAAAAACTGAAAAACCATCGGTTCCACAATTTGTTCCTCCTGTCATTCCGCAATCATCGCCACAAGCAAAACCAACAGTTGTCAAATCATTTCAGCCAACAGCAACTTCTCCTCCTTCTTCTCCTCCTCCTCCTCCACCTCCACCACCTCCTCCTCCTCCACCACCACAGCAAGTACAACAATCAGTTGTCCAACAATCTCAATCACCAATATCTTCATCTAATATATCTCGAACTGGAAGTAAGAATACTTTTAAAATGAAATTTTATCGAATCGAATTATATCATTGTATTGTACTATGTAGTTGATGGAGGAGCTTCAACAAGACATTTCACTCATCACGCTCCTCCAATTCCAGCAGCTCAACCACCAAAGCTTCCTCCACGGCAAGCTCCTCCACCGCCACCAGCACAACCGTCGTCGTCATCGTCGATATCAGTATTATCTAATGAAAACAAACCGAAAACTGGACATCATTCACAAAACTTTTCATCTTCAACAGGTTCATTTCATGTTTTTCTTACTATTCGATAAACAAATAGAATTCGTTGTATATATTTTTCTAGGTCCACAATCAAATATCGCACGTGTACCATTACCACCGCCTCCTCCTCCTTCAAATCCATCTTCTACATTACATAATAATGGCCATGCACCAGCTGTAACACTTAATCCAGATCATGTTGCAAAATTTAATACGATGATGAATCAAAATGGCCCTCATGCTTTCAATCCATCTCCACCACCACCACTACCTCCACCTAGAGGTACGGTGTCAAATAATCCTGGAGGTACAGTACGTCGACCATCACAACCAGTATCCGACTTTATTGATAATACACCTTCTGAACGTCGTTTTGATCAATGGAATACAGCAGCACTTGATTATGATCGTGATTTCGAAAATCGTTTTCGATTTACTCCAATTGAACATCTTCCACCACCTGCACAATGGAAATCATCATCAACTAAACCATCGAAAAATGCAAATTTGCACTAAAATCAAACAATTAAAAAAATCGTTGAGCTTTTCTGAAAAGAAAAAACAAACAATTTTCCTTTGATTTCTTAATTTTTTTTCCTCGGTGTTTTGTTAAAAGAAAAGAGAGAAATACAGTGATCACTTTTTTTTTTTACCACGATGTAATTATCATTAATTACTATATATTTTTTTTTCTTCGTCGATTGTTCTTAATTTTAATTTTAATTTTATCTTTTTCTTCTGTGTACAGGAAAAATACATATATAATAAAGAGATTTTAAAGCAAAAAAAAAAAAAGAAAACAAATTTATTAATATTTCCTTTTTATATAGATTTAAAACTCTCAAAGAATAGTATATTTGATGTCGAGAAAACTTAATTGAAATTGATTACAAATAGTGGCGGATTCAGGAGGGATATATATGCTCTACGTAGTGTTATTACTTGTATGAAATATTGTTTCTCTTGTTGGATACGATTTCTATACCTGTCGGACAGGTAATGAACGTTTGTAGAGTTTAGCATTGAAATAACCGACAATCATGTTAACAGTTCATTTATGCTCGTTTTATCGATAATTAATAGGTATGAGATTTAGTAGGAACTTCTACGTAATTCATGTTCCGAGTCATGTTTAATGCAACAGTACTTTCTTCTCGACTACCAAAGTTCTTTTACAAATTTATGCAATATCACAGATGATAAAAGCCACAGACGAACGAAACTTTTTCAGCATTAATGTTGATAAAATCATGCCTTCAATGTACGATAGATGAAAATTGTCTGAATGGACTATCTATAATATATGCATTCATGATTTATTTCTTAGTTGTTTTTTTTCCATAAATTATTTTCATTTACCACTACCGTTCAAAATTTTCATGATCCACCACTGATTAGAAATTGCTAATAAACATGAAATTAAAATTATGCAAGATGTTTATAAAAAAAATCAGATATTTTTACAAATTTCAATTAATAAATTCTATTTTTAAACAAAATAAAGAATAACCATAATTTGTCATGAAAAAAAATATATTTTATTCGAAAATATCACGATTCATAATTAACAAAATATACATTTATTTTTCATAACTGTAATTTAACAATTATGTTTCAAATATTCTTGAATAAATCTATATGTATGGATCATTATGTAGATTTACGTTTTGTTTTAAAGAAATCTTTTTTTTTCAAACATTGAAAAAAAAACAATCTAAAACATGGTATTATTCTTCTTGTTCTGTCCACGTGTCTAATCGTATATGACGACAAATTTGTTCATCCGATGGCACATAAATACGTTCAATAGGAACACGAAGTTGATCAAGTTGATCTTTTGGTAAAACAGCGTTATTATATTGAGTTTGAACGAATGAAGTTATATCCACAATACGTATAATATCACGACCATCAAGAAAACTTTCAATTTTTTTAAGACCTAATTGAATAGCTCGACGACCATGGATTGGTTGACCATGTGGATGATGATCAGGATCCCATTGTAAACGAATTAATTCTTGATGAGTTTTATTTTTCGAATCTTGTTCATCATCTTGAGGAAGACCTTTGTGTGAACTATGCAGAGCTTGTGCTAAATAACTATCAAATGCTGAACGTCGAAGCCATATTGCTAAAATACGTTGTTGATTAGATGATGTTGCCCATTGAGATCGATACATCATCCAAAGAAAATTTGTTTTTATCCCTAAAATAATATTTTTTATTCTTTTATTCTTTTTTTTAATAAAATATAATTGATATTGATATCATACATGTCATACGTTGTTGATTGTAACCAGGACATCCTGTAAAACGATTATTTTCACAAGCAAATTTTGCAATTTCGGAATTATATGCTTGATAGACTATTATTGATTCATCATCAAAAGATGCTAATATCCATTTACCAGGTGGTGGATTCTCTTTGTTAGTTGGCCATCGACGTTCTGCATCATTATATAATTCTGTAGCATTTTCATATTTACTTAACCAATCCATAGAATTCGACAATGTTTTGCAAACAGACAAAAATTTGTAAGAAATTTTTACTACAAATGCTCGATGAAAAAATACTTCTAATATATAATATTTGAAAATATTAATGCATTCTTATGCAATACCATACGAGTATACGTTACAAGAAAAAAAAAGTACGTCAATTAGAAATATGTATTTATTTCATCATAATAAATTACTTAATCAGATTTATAGATTCAACCAATTTTTTTTTTAATAACATGAGAAGCCAAATTAAATCTACTGACTGTAAATAAATTTCAATTAAAATAAAAAATTGTGAATCATCATGAAACGAATAAAAATAGAACGCAAGTCGGCAGTATACTGCCATCTATTTCTTATACTATGTTTTTTCATAAATTGAATAGATTTATTGCCATGCTTAAAGTTTATTTATTATGGCATCGTTCAAAATGCAAATAATTAAATCTTACACATCGAAAGCATTCATTACACTGACATAATGTCGTTTTAGACTTTCGATTATTTTCCTACTTAGATCATTCAATTTTTGCTTATATATATATTACACTCATTCTAAAAATATCATGAACAGAGTTGAAATATTCGAAAATGATGTTTTAGTAGTTTTATTTAGAAAGTAACCATCTAATAAAGTAAACTTGTTAATAGTTGAAAAGCACGATTAAAAGATCAACTTTTTTCCCTTTTGATTTTTGACACAATCGTTCAGTT